GGTTACTACATCTGATTTTACAGAGAAACATGCGAAAGAATATCTCGGTCTATGTGTCATAGATGCATTAGTGATATAACGAGATAACAGGTAATCATTATCACCGAGAAAATAATTTTAAACGAGCTTGAAAAAAAAAGATATGGTGTAATATTACTTAATAAAGTAAAAACAAATTAACTTTTATCAAGTGCAAATCTTTAATCAATGGAATTGGATATTGAATCATTTTCTTTGTTTTATAGTAGTGTATTTTTATATACTGGTTTCTGTCTATATATGGCATTATAAATGAAATTAATTTGATACAATAAAAATTTGATTCGCTCCCGCGATTTGTCATAGATCGCGATGCGATTCAAAGGTAGATTATAGTAATATAAGACGATCAGATAGAATACAATGATGGGACAATAGAAATTGATATCTGAATATATATATATATATATATATATATATATATATATATGTATATATATACATATTTTTCCCCCTCATTTATCTTCATATGTATTCGTTAAAAATGCAGCAAATACAACATAATGTAACAGAAAAAAATAAATTTCAACTTTCTTGCTGTTAATGAATTTATATATTATCTCGTCGTAAATTTTTGTAATAACTTTGAAGAAAATGATTAAAATAATACGTGAACACATGGGTGGGACAGGAACAAATAGATTCGAACAGAAATAATCAGGAATGACACGGTTTAAAGCGCTGCTCGAAAGAAATACGTAACGTTTCCTCTTTTTTTTTATGTGAATGAACGAAGATGACAGATCTTGACAGCGATTGCGGATCTACAATCTTTGAGAAACGATACTTTGCGACTCGAATTTTTTCTCAAATCATGCCTCAAAATTTTTTCGTCGGAATTTTATTATCTAAAATTTAGCGCACGCATGATTAATTTTTTTTCTGTAAAAAAAATGTATGCATAAAATAAATTGAAACAAATTTTTATCCGAAAGTCTCTGCTTTCACGAATGCATTCTTATAAAATTCTAAGAATAATTGAAATCTAAACCGGAATTTATACACGATGCGTTCACAATCGCATAAGTAACAACGGAGGGAAGTATCTACACTTCTCTCTCTCTCTCTCTCTTTCTCTCTCTATCTCTCTCTGTACAGTAGTCATTCGTCGAATGGCGTCTAGCGAGCGTTTGTCAAAATGAGTGAGCAGTGTTCACGTTCCTGTTGCGCAATGCATAATTATTCGTTTTCCGATTAATGAAAACAATTTTGCGTAATCTCGCATTCAATTTAATAAAAAGAGACTTTGACAAAAATTTTAACGTACCTAGATTTTTCAAATTTTTCTAGAAAAAACTATACACAACCAAAATATACACAAACAAATTCAACGTTCACAATTTATTTAGAATAAACTTGATTAAACGAAATAAAAAAAAATGCTCAAATCGAATCTACCCTCGTAATAAAACATCGTGCGATAAATATTAATCCGAGATTGACGCATATCGAAGCGATATCCTCGAAACCGGGTGTGCAAACAGTCGCGCAGCTTCTTCTCGCGATAATAGAAAGATAATGGACAAGCGGATAAATAAAATATATTGTCGCTTCAGCTGTCTGTGTCCATCAGGATATTGTAAACGCGACATTATAACGATTATATAGTTGATGAATCGAATTATTGACATTCCTTCGCGACAAGTCATTACCTTTTATGTCCTGTCATTGAGGCAATCTTGGTCGCGACGTTTGAAAATATCTTGGAATAATTTTGATAAACATAGAATTGGAACTGTGTGTATGTGTGTGTGTGTGTGTATATATATATATATATATATATATATATATATGTATGTATGTATGTATGTATGTATGTATGATATATGCATATATATATATCTTATCTCGAGTCGGGGTAAACGCAGATTCGACCGATTCGTTTCTCCATAAAAGGCGGAATTGAAAGGAGACGAAGGTGAGCCGTAAACTCTAATCGATATTTATAAAAAACAGCCGGCAAACTTTCCATCACGCGAACGTCCCGATAACGCAAATAGCGATCATGGCGTAAGGCACGTATCTCTCTCCGCGTAGCTACGCATCGAGAGATTGAACTTGGTCGGAGTCGGGCCGATTACGATCGGGCTCGGAAAGGCAAAGACGAGGAAAGAGGCGGAGGACAGAGACGGAGATTGCGCGAGAGAAAAGGAGAGACGGAGAGAGCGAGCGCGAGTCGTCGGCGATTCTCGCGCGTCATCGCGCGAGAATCGCGTATCGCCGGTCGCGGTCGGACATGCCGGCCGTGGAAATGAATCATGCGTACGCTTCCTGGAAACGCGACGGCGGATCCTGCCGTCGCGGAATCCGCACGCGGAGAGAAAGAGAGAGCGAGAGAGAGAGAGAGAGAAGGAGAGAGCGGGCGGGGAGGAGGGAAGAGTCCGCGAAACGCCACGACGACGCGAAATTCATCCGGTCGGCGTCGGCGAGAAAGCGAGGCGTATCCGGCGACGAGGCCAGAAATGGCCGACCGGCGCGTCTGCTGCGGCCATAACCACAAAAAGGTCGTCGTGTGCCGGGCAGGCGGCCTCGCCCGAGTCGTCTCGCGTCGCCGTTTGCGTCTACGGACGTGTTCTCGCTCTCTCGCTTTCTCTCTGTCCTCTCCGGGTGATAGTCTTAATACGGCGATGGCGATGGCGATGGCGATGGCGACGGCGACGGCGACGGCGATGGCAAAGGCGACGGCGACGGCGCGACCGGCGGATATTTACCATTTTCCGTAGGAAGCCGTGTAGCCGATGAGCAGAGTCACGTGAACGAGCACTCTTTAACCAACACTTTCCCGGAGTATCTCGGCCGTGGTGGAACTGGATAGCGGCGCGGTGTCCAGTCGAAGGGGTCGCGCGGCTGGCTCACGGGCGAACGGGAAGGGAGGCTCCTCTCTCGGCGACCAGCCGGCTCTTTCCTCTCCGCGAATCCTGTATCCCTACGCCTGCGCGCGCAGCGCCGCCAAGGTCCGCGCCGCCGATTGGCTCGCGCCCCGTTGAGCGCCCGTCAAAAATTCGCGGCTGCGCGACGCGATAAAGGAACGAAAAAAAATCGCGCTACTCGCGCGAATCCTTGGCATTCGAGACACGCTAGCCGATCTCGCGATTACGCGACCGATAAACAGGCGAATAAACGGGCGGATGGACCGCGTTGCACGCGAGGCTCACGAGAACGACGCGATGAGAAACTAAACGATGAGATATCGCGCAGAGTATATATATATGCGGGAATCGATCGACAGCCGGCGCCAAGACCGGTCCGGCATTGTCCATATCTTATCCACGCGAAATCGATTCGCGAGAATCGCGCGTGGAGGAGGTTTCGGGAGGAATTAGTCATTGACGCGAGACGTGCCAGTCGGCGCGGTCCAATCGCCGTTAGGGACGTAGGGAAATTGCCTTATATGGGCAGCGGCGTGCGAACCATCTGTCACGCGCATACGCGTCGCGACTGCGCGCAGAATCGACGCGACATGTCCCGAAACGTGTCTCGATTGGCCGATAAAGCAGAGCCGGGAGCGTATCGAGGCGTCCGGCGCCCGAGGAGAAAAATTTTCGCCACTTTATCTCAAACATTCCATTCGAGACTGATTACAAAAGATATTTGCGATAAAACATATGCGAAAAATATCGCAACGAAATGTAAAATTTTCCATGCTAAATGTTGTGGCAAGTACAATAAAATTTACTAGAAATCAATGTATAATCGATCTAATACAAATAATAAAGAATACGAATCCACACACGCACGCACGCACGCACGTACACACACACACACACGCGCGCACGCACGCACGCAAGAGGAAATTTTACATCTGTATATATTTTTCTGAATACTGTTAATTATATTATACAGTTTACAATGATCATTATCTTTGTACATACGAGAGCGACATTATACATGTTTACTATAAAAAAGAATTTACTTAGGCAAACATAATACATCTCTTTACGATTTCAACGATGTAATATTGCCAATATTGCAAATTTACATATACTCCTACAATTAAAAAACATATTACGATAATAAAGGAAACGCATAATTGTAACAGAGTCCATTTTAGATATTACAATAATGACGTATCATTGATTAAAAAGATATTAATATGTCTAGAAGTATTGCATTCTACTTGTCTTCATCTAGAATATTACTAAAAATATAATACCTATGTAAAAGCTTAATTTATCTTACAATTTCAGTTTATATTCTTTATCATTTATCTGAGTATTACAAACATTATGCCTATCGTCTTAGCGTTCAACATTCCGTATCACTGCTTCGCAAATATCTCATACAAACAATATATTACACAAATACATTGATTATTTTTTACAATCACAAAACATTCGGCATTGATTACATGATTACACTCTTCAAAATAATTCTTCTCCATTGGAGAAATAGTAATTTAGCAAATAAATAAAAAAAATTGTGTCTTCCTGTAAAATTTCTTAACTACGTTAAATACAGAACATTCCTAAATGTATGTATGTACAATTTCGAAAAACGAAATGCAACACAAGTAACACAAAATTTCCTATTTTGTAAATTACAATGTATTGTAAATTACAATATATGTATAATTATTTGATTACACACATATATACTTCCTATATGTCATGGTCATATATATGATTACAAAATTGTAATGTATAGTCAAAACAAATCGGCAGTATTAACTCGTAAAAAAATAAGTAATTAATAGATTATATTTATTATAATATATTAACCTATTTATCTAGTTATAATATCTAGAGCTCCAAACAGCAAAAATCATAATTTGAAAATCTTGAGATATTTACACGTAATATTTTCAATAAAAAATATTAAGTTATATGACAAATATTAAAATGAAAAATATAATATAATATACTCTCATGAAAGAACTATATTAGTGCATACATAGAATATGAAATTGAGGCATACAAATGTAACTGTAGTTGATATTTTAAAAAGATATAGAACATTAATATCTTATTATTATGTGTTGTCCATTTCCATTTTTTGATAGAATTATCATTTACTAAGTTTAATTCTGTATAAAATAAAATATTCATGTATAAAATAAAATATTATTCTGTGCGTCATTATATATACTGTCATTGTAATTAATTCTCATGCAAACAATATTTTCATTCGTAAAAAGTTAGTGTCATATTTGGCAAATGATTTCATTATTGGATATATACCTTTCCTTTCTTTTATATTTTTTCCTCTCTCTCTTCTTGTTTAAGTATGGATGTTCTACAGTATTGGAACATGTAAGACAAAGCGTCAAATCGCATTCTTCTCAGTATATCAACTATCTCCTTTAAGTACTGTAATCATAGAACAATTCTAACGATTACTTGCATAATTATATTTCCCATGCACAAATCGCAATGTCATTACTTAGAGTACACAATAGGAACCGCTTTGCGTTGGTACCTTTTTAATTGGGAAAATCTTTAATACATTGAGTGTTTATGGCGCGATAAATAGCGAGCGATATCGATATCTCTTACATCATATATGAATATGGATATTAGTCTATAATAATGTAAGATTATAAGAAACTATCCAAAAACCATCAGGTATCGATATTTTTCGTTTTAATGTTCCTTTATTTATTATAACTATAATACAATATTATCAGAGCTAATTTTTTATATAAAATTAGCAAACCGTCACCAACACTCAATGTATTAAACAGATGGAATCGCGCGCCATTACCAATATAATATAATGTATAATATACTCTACGAAAAAAAGTGTTTTATATAAATAATCTAGTTTCTCAGTCAATTGTTATAAGAACATATTCTTACTAACCAGAGCATTCGAGAAGCGAGGTTAAAATTTTTAATTATTACAAGACAACCTCGATAACTTAATCTTATGTTTTTACGATGTCTAAAACGTATGAACTGTTAGATGAGACCACGTTTCTTTTTATAATCTTCTAAATTTAATGAACGGCGAGGTCCTGTGTCCTTGATGTTATTAATAGGCTTCGGTAAAACACTAACAGGATTACCTAGAAATAAAATTGTACATGGACATCAATATAAATTGTATTCTCCTAATTTAATTCTCCTTATTACACAATCTTTTTTCGCTATCAAACAACAGTTTAATAAAGTTAAAAACAGTTAAATTAAAGTGCTCTTCTTATGATTTGAAAACTTACTTGGAATAGGAACTTCCAAATCAATCGTTATATCGAAATCGTGGGCGTTAAACAAATCTTCTGTACTTTGCTTCTTTTTAGACTCCTGTCCATTCTCTTTATCGTTAGCGGTCGATACCGAATCGACAGTCGGATGAGGACTGGATTTATCATTTATTGGAACTGTGCTTACCACTTCAGATTCATCTTCTGGTTTAAATACCATTCTAGGCTTAGTACTTCGTCTGGTGAATGGATCATCAATCTTTTTACCTTTATTAGCTTTTAATTCTTCCTGTTATTACATGAATATCAATATCGGTTAATTGAATAAAATTTCGGATAATACATAAACACAATATATTTAAAAACTTACCATTATAGCTTTCTCGGCTTCTTCGACATTTTTCTTTCTGTTGCGATCATTTATGTATGATATACTGGAAATCGTCGCTGTACGCATCTTATCCAGTTCCGATGCGCGTTCTTCCAATTCACTTAATTCTTGATTAAGACGACTAGCAGTCTCGTCGTCCCCTCTGCAATTAGCCGCGTCCCGTTCTCTCATCAGCTGAGCTTTCTTCATCGCGTAATTATAGGGTGTTTGCTTGAATCTCTCTTTTTCTCGAACAATTTTTTCTATATCCTCTTCTTTATATTCATATAGCAATGCTTCATTAATATCTTTTAATTTCTGCTCTACTTCGTCGAATGTTGGCACGGAAATTCCTTGCACCGCGCAAGTTTCCTTCCACTTGAAGAATTCCGAGTCTGTGAATTCTTGATTGGAGACAAATTCCAACCTGAATACACGTTCCTGTGCACCATGACGCAATTTCAATCCTTTATTCGTTCTTGTGCCGCCGAGTTGATAAATCTTTCCTGTCTCACATACACCGCTTATTTCTGCTACCCTATAGACAGGTTTACCATTATTATTACCGATTCCAATCCTGACAAAACAACCTTGCACTACTCTGTCAAAGAAAGGTAAATGAACGAATCTCTCCATTTTATGACGAGACAGTCGGATCTTGTTCAAATCTTCCTTGGTACTGATATATACCGGCTTTTTCGGTTTGGCTTTGTTACTTGTAATCGATCTAAAAAATAATGATATTAAATATTAGTATAATTTCAGATGTAAAATTTTATTTTGTGCATAAAATAGACAACTGACTTCTTATCGTTATCAGAATCCGAATCACGACTTTCACTCGAAGACGATCTACGCTGAGATGCCGGTTTAGTTTCTTCCTCCTCCTCTGCACTGTCCGATGACCCACTGTCATCGGAATATATATCAGATGCTTTGAGTTTAGTCTTGTTTCCACCTTTATGATCATTTTCCAAATCCTCTTCCTCTATATCCTTTGATTGTTGTTGTTGCTGTTCTATTCTCTGTTTTTCTTTTTCCTCTAATCAAAAGAAGGACATTAAAGTGTAAAATAAATGAAAAGAAAAAGAAATAATGTGCAAGACGCGCTACCTCGTTCTTTTTTCTCTTCGCGTCTGGCTTTAAGCAATGACATTGCATGGAATTTCTTATCTTGCTTTTCTTCTATTGTTTTTTTACGATCTTTACTCCTTTCTTTAGGATCTGGTGCCCTGTCTAGTTTTTGTTTCTCTTCACCACCTTTCTCTTTCTTTTTTGATTCTTTCTGTTTTCTCAATTCTTGTTTCTTTGCCATTCTTAATTTCTTCTCAATTTCAAATCTTGTCTTCATAATTTCACGTTGCTCAATTCGTTTAAAAATTTCCTGTTCACGTTCTTTTTCAGTCATTTGAGCGAGTCTGGCTTGATCTTCCGCATCTCCCATGAGTTTGTCATCATACCCATCGTTGAATTCTTCTTGGCTAGAGTCGGAAACACTTACATCAGAGTCTGATACTTCACCTATTGCAACAAAATAATTGTTAGTTATTATAATATTAACAAAATTCTAATGTATATAAAGATATACATTTTTAACATATAAGATATATTTAACTTTTAAATACCTTCTTCTGGCTCTGAAAGTTGCTTTGCTGGTTCTTTCTCACTGGCACTCTCTTCAGAGCTCGATTTTGTCACCTTCCGTTTACTTCGTTTTGCCGATGACCCCTTTTTTTTCTTTGTTTTTCCAGTGTTTTTGTTGTTCCAATTATTATCGGAATCTGATGTATCTGAATCATGCTTGGCATCTTTTTTAATAGATCCATTATCTTCATTCGACTGAGAATCATCTTGAGATTTTCCTTTCTTTTTCTTCGCCAATGAAAGCAGATCCTGATAAAGTTTGGATAAAAACAGATATATACTGCAAATTGTAAATTATTATAAATAAAATCATTGAAAAAATAACAGTAGCAGTTGTGTCAAATCACATAACATGTATATATATATATATATATATATATATATATATATCTAACAAAATACATTGTACATTTTTAATGTAAATAGTGTACTTTTCTTTTTTTATTCCAACATACTATGACACATTATAATGTTATTATTGTTTGCATATCATTTGATCTCAAGTGTATTCATTTAATAGATGCTACTATTGATTATGCAAAGGTACATTCGATTACCGGATACGTTTCAAAATTTATTTTACAAATTTTAACAAATGTTAAAAATTGACGATTGCTAGAGATGTTTGTTGGATGAAACTTTTATGTGCTACAAAGGTTAGACTATTTACATTGTCCAAGTCTGAGCCGCTCTCCGACGCGCTTCCACTGCTGTCGGAGTCTATGAGTGCTTGATGTTGCACCTTCCTCTTCGGCATCCTCTTTGGCAGTGTGTAGTTCTACGGGGAAATGCGAATAATTGTGTTACAATGTCGCAATAAAATTTCACATGCACTGAACGTCACATGAGAGATAACAAACCCGCTGAATCGGTTAAATAGCACGCAAGATTAGAAACGACAAAAATCGTGATTTTAGTATAGAATTTATACTAAAATTAAGTATACAATCAACGAAACGTGTGGTCGTTTACACCTGCCGTTTCGTCAGCGCGAATATCGAAACAACGAACATTCGGAATCATTCGAGATGCACTCCATTCCATTCTCCTCATGAATGCGTTCGAAAATTTATTCGTTAAAATAAAGTACGTTGTAACTGACCAATCGGAACAAAGAAATCTTTGCGCCATTTGTCTGCGTTATTATATCGCTTCGAAGTGTTTAATGGTCCAAGAAAAGAATCTACATAAAGGGGAATGCCTCGTGACTACAGCCAATTATATTCGATCTGTGCCTAGGGTAACCAGCAACGATCGACCAATCAGAGAGTCCTATTTTGAATTGGCCAATTGGCGACGTGGTCAATCGGATGTCATCCACGCAAAGCACAGCGCATCTCTGATTGGTCAGTTGCAAAAATGTGTATAAACTTTTAATTTTTATCTTTCCAGATTTCCAGAATGATGTCTGTAACTTTTATAATCGAAGATTGTAAGTTTGAAATAAAAATTCACGCATGGCATTTCTCATTCATCGAGCTCTATAAACAAAAAATCAAAAAAAAGATGAATGCAACCATATGATTGTCTCTTTCTCAAAGTTGTCCCCCACTCCTTGATGGCTCATTCTACGATTTGAGTTCAATGAAAGGAATGACTCATTCCAATACGTATAAAGTTCAATGGTCCCTCTTCTACGTAATCATCGGGGTAAAATTTCCCTAGGGACGGGCCGCAGTGTTTTCAATCGCAGCAATTACCACGGAATGTGGTAGCCCGGCTGCTTGGAGCCGGACGGAGGGGGTGGGAATAATAAAACGTTAGGCGTGTCGGCGTCCGTTTTTTACGACTTTTATAACCATTGAGAATCGTTGTCTCGCCGATCCGATTTCTCGTCGCGCTACCGAAGCGACGACGATAGCGACGAGCCCTCGGAGTAGATCGGTTTCGATCGAAGCGTAATGTCAAAGGTGCACGTGACTGCGACGCCGCGACGTTCCGAGGATGCTTGGGTCGTAGACCCGCTACGATAGCGTATCCCAACGACAGGTATATCGCATTGAGAGTCGTTGCGTTGCATCGCATATATGTGCCCGTCGTTTGTCCGCGCGCGAAGGAGGGTATGCTCTTATGGGGTAGCGAGCGGCAGGTAGTCTTTGCCGTGGAATGGAGACGGAGAGCGTGAAATCCGGGGCTAGCGAGCATAGCCATAGCCACCACAGCAGAAGCTCCCAAAAGCACCATCGATCCCACAGCTCGAAGCAGCATCACAGGCAACATTCTCACCGTACTCCCAGGTAGATTCGATCAACTTTAATCTTGTCTTTATTCTAAACAAGTTACACTACCGGTATTAGAACTAACTAACTATTGGTGTATCTGTACATATGATTCAATTTTTTACAACAGAAGCACTCGAAGTCAAAGGAAAGAAAGACAGAATTTGGATACTAACGAAATGGCTCCGTTTCAAACAACCGTAAACGTACGGGGAGATAGCGTGGATAATATGGGTCAGGAGGTGATCGAGGTGCAGATACTGCCACAGGATGAGAATTGGGGAGAGAATACCACGGCCGTTACCGGCAATACTTCGGACAGATCCGAATCGACCGAGGATGTAAGCCACTGGCCAAACGAGACCGACGGATCATTTGGTTCTAGCTGCAGTCGTTATGTCGGTCCGGTCGTGGCGATGATACTCGGAATAAGCGCCTTTCTTAGTCCTATTGCCATGGTGATCTTGCCTAAACTGGGATTTTTTCCTGACTCAACGACGGTGTTGACGATGCAGCAAAAACTACAGCTACTGTCGTGCAACGCCGAATGCAAAGGCCAACTGCTAGGATTAGCCTTCAAACTGGTGCTACTGGGTATCGGTAGCTGGGCGGTGTTTCTGCGTCCGCGAATCGCTACCATGCCGCGTATATTTTTATTTAGAGCAGGAGTGCTGCTGCTAACCATGCTGTGCATTTGTACTTATTGGCTTTTTTATGTTGTACAGGTATATAGAAAAATCTGTGTTGTAACTTTGAATGTAATTTATGTATATCTAGTTTAGCAAATGTAAATTATACATAATTATTGATTTTTTTCAGATCACTGAGAGTGCTAAGACTGCTGCCAATGGTGAAATATCAGAGTACAAAAGTTTAGTAAATTATGCAGGTACCCTTGCAGATACACTGCTATTTATACACTATGTTGCTGTGCTCCTTATTGAAGTTCGTCATCTGCAGCCTACATTCTATCTAAAGGTGCTTAAATGTTGTATATATCTTTAAACAATAATATTTAATATTTGCCATCGAATTACATATCCCGTTGACATTTTTGTTGGCAGGTCGTTAGATCGCCGGATGGTGAATCGAGATCTTACGCGATTGGCCAATTATCGATACAGAGAGCGGCAGTATGGGTCTTGGAGAGGTATTACACGGAATTTCCGATTTATAATCCATATTTGGAACGATTGCCGGTCTCGAAGTCGGGCAGGAAGCAGTCGAGTTTCAAATTCTACGAAGTCGACGGTGGAGTGACTGGCGGTATGCAATCGCGCGGTGGTAGCGGGGACCGAGCAGTTTTAGCTGCGCAGGCACGTCGTCGTGATTCCAGTCACAACGAACGCTTCTACGAGGAACACGATTACGAACGACGAGTACGGAAACGCCGCGCGAGGCTAATCACCGCCGCCGAGGAAGCATTTGCGCACATTAAACGCTTACATTCCGAAGTAGAGTCTACGCCGAACTCGGGACCGATGGATCCCATGGAAGCTGCGCAAGCGGTGTTTCCTTCCATGGCGAGGGCCTTGCAGAAATATTTGAGAATCACTCGACAACAACCGCGTCATTCTGTTGAATCTATTCTTAATCGTCTTGCCCGCTGTTTAGCCCAAGATGCGGCACCACGCGCATTTTTGGAACCATTCTTCGTTACGAGCCCGGTGCTATCGAACGAGAAGGAGAGACAAAAGCGATCGCATCATTGGGCCTTGGTGTGCGAGGGAGAGTTACCCTCGCGTCCAATCGCTAACGGTTGTGAATTTCAGTTGAGACAGGGCGAAGTAGCACTCTTGTGCACGGCGCATAGATTACCGCACTTTAATCTCACTGAACAATTGGCACATCCTAAATCGAACAAATTTCTTCTGCGATTAAATTCTGAAACTTCTGTTTAAAATGCCTGATAGAATTCTGGAAATTCCATTCTTTAATTTTCAATGAAATTTTGCAATATCTTAAAAAACGGGAATATATGTACTTAGTAAGATTTTTGATGTAAATTAAATTCAATAGAGATAATATTTAAAAAAACGTAATTTTTTTTGCGTTGAAAGCGCTGGACTTCGCTTTGCGCAAAATACATAATGTGGTATATGCTATAGTTTATTTCATGTGGATATAAAAAGAGAATAATGGAGACTTTTATTTGCGCAGAAAATATTTAATAATTTGAGTGAGTACTGAATCTCGCTTTATGTAAAAACTATTTTATTCAATTTATCGAAATATTTTCATCAGATTTCATGAAAATTGGAAAACCAATTTTCTTTTAAAATGTAACCTATTATAAAACAATGTAATAGTACATATTTTTTAACATGATAAATTGGAAGCAACACAAGAATAATGTTACTTTATTTCATTGAGTTTCTTGATGTTTTTTCATGTAACTATGATTTTTTTTTAATTATAAATTAATCATTGATGCATACTTTTGAGCATACTTTTGAATAATTTTATTTAAAACAGTAATAATATTTATACTTGTGTATAATGTATGAAAATACTCAATTTTTCTTCTGTTAAGACATGCGCATACATATTTATTTATTCCATTACAAATAGTGCATATCATGAATTATATATATACTTTAAGTATATCTAGATGAACTTAAAGTATATCTATATTTTTTTTTGAGAGACATAATAGGGATAGATTAAAAAACACGAGATTGAATATTTGTACTGATATTTACATTAATTAATACGCATTCCCGAATTCATGAATTATATTTGTAGTACCATATTTATATACAAGAGAGATGTGCTTTAAGTATATAAGAATTATATACACATAAAAATATATGTGTTCATATACATGCGCACATGCATAACAGTACACAAAAAACACATATAGTTCATATTTATCATATTTCACTATCAAGGAGAGGGTATAAGAAACTCATATCTCTTGTTATCCTGTGTCCTGCAATGTAATAGTACGCACAGTGAATACTCAATAATGATAGTATTAACTTTTGTACTTCAACATTTTTATATGATTTTCACTCTTTAATATAGTATTTACATTAAGCAAGAATGGTAAACTAATTACTAGATGATAGGAAATTCCAATACAATTATCTGTTAGGCTTATTTCTTTCTCAGTTTTTCTGTCATTCTTTAAACATTTCAGTGTTGTGATTAGATAAGAGATTATTGGTCTATTGGTAAATTATATAGCTGTTTGTATACGTTTAGATTATTTTTTTATTCTTAAATGCTTGAAATAATTTTAAAAGCATATCTTGAGTGAAATTTGAAAATAATATCACAATTACTCTTTGAATAGTTTTATTACACTTCTTCCATAATCTGTAATCACTGTAATAATTATTCAAAGCAAACATTTAAGAGTAAAGTATAAAAACAATTTTAAGATGAGTGAAATATTATGATATATAAGTAAATTATATAATTTAATAATATTAAATTACTTATTAATTACATATCTTTTAACGCGTATCTAAATGGATTTAAACAATGTGTATTCTTATTTGATTGCAAAATGCATAGGAGAAATTTACATATTGTGAAAATAAATTTACATATTATGAAATATGTATATAGTGAAAACAAAAATTCTATGATTGCGGATTTTTACGTGTACATATATTCGTACGAATCTCATTATTAGTTAAATTAATGAACGATGGCTTGAATTATAAGCCTAATTGGCCAAGGAAAAAACGAGGTTTATATATTGAGAAGTAATTAATATTGTTGAACTTCTCTGAGATTATGTCTTTGTCATTGTAATAAAATTGACAAATATGAAAGCTCTCTATGAGACGATAGCTTTGAAGAAAGCGTACAGTTTACAGTAAGCACACGTTCTTATGCTTGTGTGGTATGTGATTTTTCAACGTGTTGTACGCTTCGCTCAACATTTGTAAATCGTATAAGGTGAAAATACATGAAAAAAAAATACTTGATAATATTTTAAATTATCCTGGTAGAGGATCCTCGATTTAAGAAATATTAAAATAAGATCGTGCAAGGATACAGAGAATAACTCAAGATTTCTGTGTAATTTTTTTACTGACGTGAGTAGCTTTTGCTATGAATGTTCTTTTTTTATTTATGTGTGCTCGCGTGATGATTGTATATTATTTGAAAGATGATGAAATATACATTTGATGTATAAAAAAAGTTTTCTTTGTTTTTTCTTTCTTGTGTATATCAAAATTTTGCTTTAAAAAACTTGAAATTCTTCCAATCAGATATTATCAAATAATGAAGTAACATAATAAAATATTTTTAGGAAATTGGAATTTTTTTATAAAGACAAATTTAAAATTATTTTATTAAGAATTTTCTTTATGATGCTTGAAGGAAAATCAATGTAAATATAAAAGCCAGTTTTTTTGAAATGCATAAAATTTTATAAAATGCATAACGTGATTTTATATATTTTATTATTATATATAAATATTTTTAAAAAAATTTTTTTCAAATCGAAAATGTTTCAATTAATGAATGAGAAAAAATTAAAAATATTTATAAAAACCTGTTAAAGACAATCATCTTAAAATTAACGCTATTTATTCTTAAAGACATTGTCATTAATGATGTGTGAATATTTCACACAATTATACGAACTCTGTTATTTTAATAATATTTAATAAACGGAGAAGTAGATGTACGAATACCACGTGTGTTGATTTAGCTGTCATAATAATATAATGTCTTTTTATTTTGTAAAGAATACAAGATAAAATGTAAATTAAAAAAGTTTGAATTTTTTCATTTGAAAAATATTATTAACATAATGCCTAATTTCTTTTGAAGAAGAGAGAATTGTATTATGATTAAAAACACAAATGTAATAAAATTATATATATCTATATATATATATACATATATGCACACGTAATTTGATTATTTAATTTTTATAATTTTATGTGACTTGTGTTGTAATTTATCAACAGCTGATAACGGCAGTTAACAATCACATCCATTCATTCGTCCCACAAATTCTTTTTCGCACAAATGTGATATCGGTCTTCAAATCTGTTCATTTTGTGCGTGCACTTTCTACATTTATTTTATAATTTTTTCTTTCTCTCTCTCCAATATACTCAATATACACTTATCTCGTTTTAAATGCAGAAAGTTCCATATTTGAATGGAACCTAAACGAACAAATCTTTTTTATCGACGCGTCTTGATAAACCTTTCAATAACGCCCTCCTCTCAGTAAGTTTGACGAGCGATGGCGGCTGATCTACGGTCTATTGTCGATAAATGTCAAACGCCAGCAACGAGGATCTCGGAGTAGCGAGCGTTCATCGTTCGATCTACGACGTTCCCGGTCGTAGAGATGGCCGCAAAGGAATCGGCCGTCGAGACGATCGACGACGGCATAGCCGAGCCCGGGATCGAACCCGGCGCCTCCTCCGAAACGATGCTCGTCACCACCGATAGCTTCGACGAATACGAGCAGGAGATGAGCAGTAGCATCGACGGTGACAGGCAGATGAAGGAGAGCACCGGCAGCACCATCTCCGAAATCCAGGAGGACAGTACTCAGGACATTCCCATCTCCGCGAGCCCGCAAGAATCCGGGAAAACTCTCTCCCTTGACGACGCCGAAATGGTTAGTTTGTAACCTCTCTTCGTTGGAATATCACATATCGATCAATTGATTTAAATGTAAATAGTACAATTTGTTGTGCATTATTTTAGGACGATGTCGCGCACCGTTTGGGTCAGAGTAACATAGACGGTGACCCATTGCGTTGCAAAGCATGGTTGGCACAGAAGAAGCACATCTTTATCTTGAGCCAAGCGGGAAAGCCGATATACTCTAGATATAGTTCAGAAGACAAACTAGTCACGGTTATGGGAGTTATGCAAGCACTAGTGTCATTTGTTCAAGCAGGCAGCGATATGATTAGATCGGTACACGCAGGCGACACAAACTTTGTTTTCGTTGTAAAGGGTCCATTAATTTTAGTGGCAGTGTCCAAGACATTGGAGAGTGTACCGCAGCTCACCTTACAATTAACGTATGTATTATCTGAAACAATAGATCCACCAAGTATATTACATCTGATATTTATACACATATATTTATTTATTATGTATTTTAGATATGTATATAATCAGATAATCTCTGTGTTAACACAGTCTCAGTTGAATAGAGTATATGATCAAAGAAGAAACTTTGATCTACGGAGATTACTAACTGGCAGTGAAAGACTGATAGATCATTTATTGAACTTTATGGATAGAGAGCCAGCTTTCTTTCTAGGAGCCATTAAATGTTTGCCCCTACTTCCTTCCATGAGAAGTTCCATTACACAGACCATCATTCAAACATGTGCTAAAATTAAGGTACGAAAAGTATTAGGAGAATTGCTCACTTATGAGATTAATATAAATATTTTGCTCTCTCTTAAAAAGAAATATATATATTTTTCAGAATTTAGTATTCGCAATACTTTTAGCTAACAATCAATTAGTAACATTAGTCAGAATGAACAAATTTTTTCTACATCCAATGGATTTGCACATAATACAAAATCTAGTAGACAGTTCAGAATCGCTCAAAACTGCGGAAAGCTGGACGCCGATATGCCTTCCGAAATTCGACTCCAATGGATACATGCACGGTCATGTTTCTTATCTGTCGGAAGATTGTCAGGCGTGTTTACTATTACTCACTGTCGATAGGGATGTATTTTTTGTATTGTCAGATGCCAAGCAAGTAAGAGTTATTAAGTAAATCAAATTGGATCGAATAATGAAAAATTATATTTATATAAATAACAAATTTTATCGATAATCTTCTGTTGTAGAAAATAGTGGAGAAATTACGACGGACGAATTGCTTAGAGGCGATAAACGAGTCAATGAACAAACCGACGATAACGACTGCAGACATTGGGTTACCCGATATGCGACATGTTTTGTACAAATGCAAAAGTACCGCTCAATTTTGGAGTCCTGGGTTTCAGCCACCTTACACAACGGATGAAGAAATAGAACGGTAAAATTTGCAAACTTGTTAATAAACAACAGCTATATAACTCTTGTAATAAAATAAAATTTTTTTCAGATTATTGGGGCTTTATCAGTGTTTGCATCACAGATTGCATTCTCCTAGTCGGCCCTTAAAACTTATATTCCAACAGCTGGATAAAGAAACAATGCTAGCATGGGTGAGAAAAGAAACTATCTTTAATTTATTCGCAAAATTTTTTTCCTTTGATTATATATATACAAAGAATACATCTTTTTTTCTCATTAGGTTGCTTCTGGTTTCGAATTATACGTAACGTTTGAGCCTCTAGTGACAAAACCGGATGCTATCGAGGCAGTGAGTAAACTATTAAAGTGGATAAAAAAGGAGGAAGAAAGATTATTTATTCTGAATTCGCCTACATTTTAAACATTATCAAGTATTTTTCTTTCTTTTTTGGAATATAAGAATATGTAAAAGTGATATAGAGATGTTGGTCGACCAAACGCATTATTTCACAATGTAAGAAGATAGTTACATTAGGTATAAGGGTTCCAAAGCAAAACATTGTAATAAGTTTCTAAGAGAGCAGGTATAATTATTCGTCCATTATTATGTATCGATACTATTTTTTTATTTAAAGGAGCAATTGTAATATAACGTAAATGATATGAAAAATGTATATACATATATTTGAATATGTTATACGGATTCGATTTCGGATGCGTATTGTGATTTTAATACCGAATTCCTGTAAATGTGTCACATACCGGCGCTAAATACATTCAATCAATGATAAGAATAAGAAAAGAATCTCACCAATTTATTCGTCCATTCACTCGATTATATATAAGAATTCAATCAAAAGATTGTACTCGTCGTATTTTAATGCCTAGTTCTGTCGCGTTCTCTTCTCCGATCTCGCTCTCTTTCTCTTTCTCTCTCCCTTTCTCTATCATCTCTTCTGTGACGATCCCTATCTCTATCTTTATCTTTATGCGAAGACGAGTGAGATTTCGGCGATCTGCTGCGTTTACGCTCCCTCCTATCTCTGTCTCTATCTCTCTCTCTACTTCTCGACCTCTGCTTCTCCTTCTCGGATTTTTTCTCGGATCGAGAATGCCTCTTGTCCCTGTCCCTGTGACGATCTCTCTCTCTTTCATGATCGTCCGGTCTCTTGCGCGGTGATTCTTTAATCGGTGCAATTTCTTCTTCCTCTGACGATTCGATACCGTCATCCATATCATCCTCTAACGCCGAAATCTTCGCCTCTATTTAATATGAATTACTACATTTACAGAGAGATACAACTAAACCATATTAGATCCATTGAAAATAATTAAATAGTATACCTAGTTCGTTATTCTCTTCTAAAACGTATCTCTTTTGAATCCTTGGTAAAATAACATCGCAACATCTTTCCTCCCTGAGAAGGTGGTCGATAAATTCATCCATGTGTATGAGCTCAAACACACCCTGCTTGTTTTGTATCCTGAGCTTTCTGTTATCGTTGAATAATGGTTCGAGATACTTGTAACAGTCCAGGGATGAGCCAGTTAGTCTCATATACAGTGCACCTAATGCACGAACGTATTTAAACTCTTCATTTTTTATAAACTCAACTATGATGTCCTTCTCAGGCTGTATTTGGAGCATTTTTAGTATGAGACAGAGGAATGGCGTGGGTTTCACATTACCGCCGTATACTCCTCCTAAAAATCTAAATTTAAAAAGATAAGAAATAAAAATTAATTAGAAAATTTTCCACAAGTGTTTATATTTATCTGTTAAATTAAATTAGAAATAAAAATGTTATCGCGGCAAAAGGGATATTCAGAGGTTATGTTTTGATTTTACTAACCTCAATTCCATCGCCTTGTCAACCAGCAATTCCGCTGTTAATGCGAAACATTCTTCTTTCCAGTATTTGGAATCGTATATCCGTGATCTAATAATCTTTTCCACCAAATATTGCGGATTTGTTCCGCGAATAGATTTAGCGTCTTTCACGGTGCGATTCGCCATTTTCGAATTTTTCTGCGAACCTTCGGTAAAGGATCACCAGAGAGCGCTGGAGATGCACTTTGCGCGGCCGATGCATTCGTGACGAAATGTAAGAAGCCTACCGAGAGAAAAGGATATTCTGCGTGTATTTGAAAAACTTGCTATTAAGAAAGGTATTTTTCTATTAATATAATTATTCTAATATTTAAGACATTTTTCTCTCCTCTAAAAGATATTAATATATATTTTAATAAATATATTAAATTACGCAATATATGCAGTATTGCTATCATAAATATTATTTTATATTTATGTAAATATATAAGTACGATCCTTGTATATTGATTTAAAAAATATACATGGAAGGTAGTTTTTAAAATTTCACGAAATAAAACCGTTATATGCAAATGAAGAAATCTGACAAAGCTAGTCGTACGTGCAATACAATGGTGTATGTATCACCTTTCCGATGTCACCTTTCTCTTCTATAAGGTTCCGTAAGGGACCATTCACGGCGGGCCTTTCTCTCTCTCTCCGTCTCTCTTTCTCTCTCTCTCTCTCTCCCGCTCGCTCGCTCTCTTTCTTTCCTTCTCGCACGCTCACCTGGCAACTTGAGGCTCACCCAACGGCCATCTTGAGGCGCGCCGTTGTATCGCGCTCCTCGTCTTTCTCCCGGGTCGCGCATTCCCCGGTTGTCCTTGTAGCCGGTCGCTCGTCGCATGCGCCGCGTGTTGCAAGCCAACCAGCCAACAAGCAACAGTGATCACGCCGGTAACGTTCCGATCGCGCAGCCTCCACCTGGCTCCTCCTTCGCGCATTCCGATAAGACCCTGCATCGATGACGTCACCGATATCCTCGTTTAAAGAACACTTTTCGCGAAAAGTGTCCGCATTCTCCGAAAAAACACGGTGAGTTGGAGTTTCGGCGTCAGACGCAAGGTCTTACACATCAATCATTTATTTATTTAATTATCCCCTTTGGATCTAGATAGATTGTGGATATATACGATAGGTGACATTTAATTACAAGGCAAATTTTTCATGACACTTGTCGTTAATTAAGTTTCATGATCTCGCAGTTAACGGTTTACCTCCGCATCCTTTCGCATTCTGTGGTGCATCGTTCGAGCAGAGGAAAGGTGCTTGTGCCAATCTTCAACGACCTGGGCAAATGTCACGGATGACGCGAAGACGATCGTGCCACCGTTGATTATTCTGGTTGGATATTCCGAAGTACGTGGGACCGACAAGACAATCGGGAAATAAACAATCTGGATCCGTCCGTGCGTCTATTGTGAAACCCAAGACCTGTTCCACGATCCCGACAGATATCCACGTTGGACTCACAAAGGGAGAGCGATTTTTTAGTCGCGAGAAATCGTAGTCGTGTGTGTCGTTGAAGCAGCGAAAGTACACGGTTCTTTGTTCGCGTAGAGAGAAAAGTTTCCCCGCACGAATGTGATTCGCGCGTGTGTCTTACACACGGTGATTCCATTGTTGTCGAACAATCGGACGGTGGTGAATACGTTCCAAGATCGACGACCTTTTCCCAGGTGTGATAACCGTTCGGATCAGCGCGAGGAAACTCGGCGAGTTCTACGGATTTTCATCTCTTCCGGTGGTTCGATCGGCGGCGATCCTTCTCCATCGTTCCGTTGTACGGGAAACCCGCGGGAGTTAACGGTTGAATGATTTCACGAGGAAGAAGGAGCGTTTTTCAACAACCGGTCACGGTCGAGACATCGAGTTTGACGGCGAGTTCGACGATCGACTTTGCGACGACACCAGGATGGGTTCCAAGATCGAGTACGTCGAGTCCTCGCACATGTACGCGACCAATTACATTCGCAATTCCAAGGCGATCGGCGTACTGTGGGGTATCTTCACCATATGCTATGCGATCATCGGTGTCGTCGCGTTCGTAACGCCGGAATGGCTCGGCGATCTGCAGCACGAGAATCCCGGAAGATTCGGCCTGTGGACCAGATGCAGCTACGGTGGTAATGGTATGCGCATCCTTGTGCAATTTTATATTTTATATGCAAAAATTCATTTCTCTAACTGGCTGAAAAGATTATTACAAAATATATATATATATAGATGAATATTTCATCAATCATGATCTAATAATAATATAATAATATACAATATGTATTATAATTTCTAATATAATTAATATAATATGCATGTTATATTATTATATTTAATATTTATAGTTAATTTAATTTTTATTTTATATTTTATATATTTTATAAAAATATTGATTTTTTTTCTCCAACTGACTAAAAAAAAAACCTTATCAAAGACATCTATATTTCTCCTATTAACCATAATCTAACAATAATATAATAATACGTAATATGTATTTTAATTTCTAAAGTAATTATATAATATTTTTTTATTTATACATATTAATTTTTTTTAAATTATTAACATTTCTTTGTAATAATCGGTAAAAGAAGTTTCAAAAATAAGAGAGGATTGATTAAATATTTATACCGATTGTAATTCGAGATGTTTGATGATGTTTGATTGACCTCTATATTATAGGTGAGTTGGGCGAGGAGTGCATCGGCCGATTGGACGATCTATCGACAATCGCCAACGTTCCCTTCCGAGCCAGCACGATTCTAGTCGGCGTCGCGGTGCTAATCGCATTACTGGCGATCTGCGCGATGCTGATGTTCTTCTTCTGCCAAAGCACCACCGTTTTCTACATGTGCGCCTGGATGCAAGTGGTATCAGGTAGTTACCCTGTTATGCATCGTCAAAAAAGAAAGAAAAGCATTGTGATTTCAACATTCTCGCGTCGAGAGAGGCCTTCCGGAACGCGCACAAGCGCCGCTTCTATTTTAGAAAGTGCAATGCCAGCTAGACCAGTTCTCGCGACCCATTACTGCAATCTCCACACTAATTCCTTATCAGCGAGATGCAATTGCAAATTGCACCGATACACCATGCCCATTCGAGGGGTCGGGAAATGACGTAATCGCTCCGCTTAATGCGGCATCGCAGCGAACTTGTTACGTATATCTGTTTCATCGAGTGGGGGATTTTAACGCGATTTTAGAGCGATATCGATCGTCACCGGAAATTATTCTCGTGTCACGGTTTCGTGCTCGTGAGAAAGCTCTTTCGCGAAAATTTCGCGGAGAGATCCGGATCGTTGAAAATAATTATAAAAATTAACGGTAGCGAGATATATAGATTGTATATACGCGTTTGTACTATTTATTCATGAATAAATGTCGAATCGACATTTTTATTTGGTTTAGAAAGCGCGCGGTAACCGCAGGATTGTTCAACATGCTTGTGCAACGACTGAAGTAATAATAACAGTGTTGCGAGAATAACTACCTCATTCATGGATGACGCGCTGTCAAAGACGACGTTCACGTCGACTGAACCGTTATAAGAGTTATTTAGACAACTCTGTGTATACTTTTTCTCAATATTTTTCTTCTTCTACACGAAGATGTACATTTCTGTTTCCTCTACAAATAGTAAGACTGCAAAGTGTGCTGCTCTTTCTTGATTCATTAGATTTCCCTTATTACGAGATTATAAAACGATTCAAGCGTTAAATGCGCTTCTTAGATGGCTCGCATTACCTAGATAGACGCGTATAATTGTCGGTTTTCGCATTGCTGCTTCTAAGTATGCATGATATCTACTGCCTGGAAAAACATGGAGAATTTGGAATTTTCACAGATTTTTTTATATCTGGAAAACTCGGCGAATTCTTGAAGTTTTATTGGAATTTGAGAAATTTTTTAAAAAGCGATTTTTTCTTTATAATTTTATTATATTGTAAGCAATCGAATGAAATGGTCAAGTAAATAAAATTTAAAAAATATATTTAAAATATATTTAAAATATATTGTATAAATATTTTTTTTGTATATTCAATATTTAATAGAATATAGAATATACAGTGTATATTTTTTTCGTATAATTTTTAGCGATAAAAAGATAAAAATATTACTTAGGAACAAATTTTTATCTTGCGGAAGCTAATAGTTTTTTTAATGCATTTTCAAATTTAACACTTGAAATTTAAATAGCTTTTTATTTTTTTTTCGTATAAGTGAAAACACACAATAAAACAAATTTATTTTAGAAAATTGCATTCAACACATATTTTTAAAAATTCTTTTTATTTGAAATTTGAAACAGAGAAAGATTGGAAAGTTTTTCAAGACGAGTAGACTGTGTTTTACTCGCTGTCGGGAATCTGCTTCCGAGTAGTAGGCGTGTTGCTGAAACACGCGGTTTTTCTAGACGTACATCTACGAATGCGGTATCTCGTAGCTTCTCGTTTTGCAATCGTAATCGCGCGTGAACGTCGCCCGCGGGTCGCCGATGAGTCGTAGCGAAATGTAGAATAGACCGTTATAACGTGCCCAAGCCGCTCTCTGCATATACCGTTCGTCAATGTCTCTATGATTAACGCAAACCGAGTGCGATTGGGTCGATATTCCACTGCAATAACTTTGTATCGAGGTATATAATCTCTACTATAACTGGCTGCATTTCGCTCTCTCAATTGCTCGGATTAATTTTATCGATGCGTATGAAATGTATCCATGTTAATTTTTGCACTTTACTGACGTACTTCGATAATCCTTACAGGTTACATATGGGCTACCTTGACCCCGTTGATATTTTAATAATAGAACATTGATAAAGCTGAAGGCCTTAATCGATAAAAAAAAATGTTTAAAATTGATCTTTAAACTTTTGTTGTACACGATTATTTTCTATAGATATATGTCAAGGAATGTATATAAATTTTTATAGAATTTTTTTAAGACAGCTAAAACTGACAAAACATTATGATCCATGTACCAAGGACAGAGTAAAAAAATGCATGACCTACAAAAATTAATTATAAGAGTTCGTTTCTCTCGATGCTTGCATGATATATCTAAATTATGCGTTTAATTTGCGTACTGAAATAATATAAAGCTTTTTAAGCTATATTTTATTTTTTTGCTATAAAAAAGAGTTAAATGAATTTTTCCTTTATATATTTTATAGTTACTCATAAAACAACACCAACTAGTAATAAGATGATTAATTTGCGAAAATTGCATAATATTGCATTGCAAGATATCGATGCGCATATAATTCGCTTAACGAGCGTAACTTATATAAGTCTAACTGTCTTTAGCAACAAAGTTTCGGTGTATTCGTTGCAAACGAGTTGACGTTACACGGCTCGAGTCACGACAGTGAAAGTTACGGACCGAAACGCGCGTTCGAACTGGTAGCATGAAACACGAATGAGGTAAATGTATCACCGAGAGAGACGAGACGTTCCAATTATATCAAATTATAAAGATTCTCTGTGGTTTTTAGAGTGTAACGTTGTGTGGCGCACGTATTCCTTAATGTACATCAAAGTTTTTACGTCGAGATCGCTCGTGGGATATCGCCGTGTCGGAAAACGCTGATCGCGTTACAAGTTGTAGAGGTGAACCAAGTCCCTTTCACTACCGGCACCTCTCGCATAGTCTTTTTCTGCGCACAATCACATCCGTATCGCGTATGCATAAATGCCAAGAACAAACTGATAGATTGCGGACGTAGATGACAGAATCGCAAAACGGAGAACCACAAGTCTCGAGGCGTATCATTAAAGTATCTGGCTTGTCAATAAATGATGCTCGCTGATCATTAAATAATTCTATGCTTTTGCACGTAATGTATAATTATCTTGGAATAGAAAAAAAATTTAATACTTGTATCGCAAAGCGACATGCGTGTTCCGTCTAACAACTTTGAGTGAGATTGCCTTGTAATCGAGTATCGTCTTATATAATTGAAATAATATTCCAAATATCCTTTTTTAGCGATTTGCATGGCGATCGGAGTGTGCATCTATCCTTTGGGTTGGGATTCACCGGTGATTCGCGCCGTATGCGGTGCAGCTGCGTCGAGGTGCGTATTTTTGCAACGTACATGTAACATGGAAAATAAATATTTAAAAAAGTAAAATTAAAACAAAAATTATATTTTGCCGAGTAATTTCACACGAAGTTTAATATCTCGATAGAATAAATACATTTATATTATTACTTTATGTATTTTGGTTTATTTTGTAAAGACATTAACTTCTTTTTTTTAATTTTTTGGCAAAAAAATTTTTTGTTGAGAGGAAGACTTTCCTTCAACTTGAGAGAAAGCGATTTTAAATTCCAAAATACATATATGTATTTAGATAATATAAACTATTATTAATCGCACCTTGTATGCACGAGTACGTTCTTATTATATTAAACTTCTTGATTAAATACATGTTCGCGTGTGAAATATTGATACGACGTGATAAGTAGTTACTACCCTGCAATGAGAATATAATTGTGTAAATTAGTTAAGAATATAATTGCGATAACAATAAACGTGAGAAAACTGCCAATTAAGAAGCTATTTGACAGATACAATCCTGGCGCCTGTGCCGTGAGATGGGCGATACCGCTCGCTGCGATTGCGGCTCTGGACGCGGCTACCTTATCGGCTCTTGCTTTCATTTTGGCCTCCAGACACGTAAGGCTGCAACCAGAACCTTTCAATAACGGATCCTTGTACAAAGGTAATTAAGTCAGCAATTATTTGAACATTTTTATTAAATTTCGTTAATTTGTTAATAAATCAGCTGTTCTTCAACTTTCAATGAAACGTACCATGTCTGTTAATAACGTCAATATTTTTTTATCTTTCTTAGGCGAAGTGAATCCAGGCTACATCAATGAAGCCCAGAGCGTAGCTGGCTCCCGCAAATCTCTGTCTTTAAGACCGGTCCTCCTAGTAGCGCCGCCTGAACAAGACCGCTACAGCGAGCTCTCCAGGGCAAAGTCGCACTCGCATCATAGTCTGTATACGCCGGCACCATCACATCCGGTGCATACTATGTCGACAAATACTCTCAATCATTCGCAGCATAATTTCCAGCTCTGAGATTATCAAAAAAAAAGGTTATTAAATAAACCTGTATATAGTCTGCCGGAGACATGAAGAAAAGTATTGTACATAAAAAGAAATGATTGATGGATAATTTATGCGTCCTGACTTGAACGCACAATCGTTCGGGATATCTGTAACGTTAAATGTTTTACCAGGAATAGAATCTCTATTTATAACAACGAAATTATGTATAAGATACAATAGCAGAAATTGCTTCTCAGCCACTAAGCATTCATTATTGTTTTTGTGCCGTGTATATTATATTACATTTACATGTGTATATGCATTATTTATATATCTCATCGATATATTGTCTTTCTTAGGCTATTGAGATTCTTTCTACATTTATACACAACTATTATATTTAATTATTATAAAGTTCTAATGAAAATTATTGAAGATTTGTTAAATACGATTTTTTAAGGGTTGTTTATATCAATTTTGTGAGATGACCTCTTGATAATAAAGTGGTATTTTTCTATTTAAAATTTCTCTATTCCAATTTCATTTATGTTTATGCATTAATGTGTATATATATATGTAAATGTAATTAGACGTGTTAAATTGTGTTAAATTATGTTAAACCAAATAGTTTTATACATTTCTCTAAGGATCGTAGATTTTCTAAATATATTGAATTATATTATAGATAAGTTAAATGCACAAAAAAGAATAATTCGAAAGAAAATTTCTATATATAAAAATTTTATATAAACAATCCGTGCCGTATTATCGAAGCAGAGAGAAAGAGACATAAAGAGAGAGAGAAAGAGAGTATATAATTCATGTTATATAATTATTTAAGTCCTTAATTATTGCAACGTGCCTTTACGATATAATATCGAGAATAAAACTGTGAATCAAATTTTTTACCACAAAATTACTTATATTTACTACAAAATTACTATATAACGAATATTTTACGTAGCTATATAATACTCGTGCGCAACTTGGCGATTTTTAATTGATTGGACGAAAAGACGTAAAGTTTATACGTAAGGAGACCTTTCTTCTGTGAGTATCGCTAATGCCTAATAAAAAAACAATGATTATTCATAGACTTTTGAATCGTAAAAGTCGTCAAATTATTATTATTATTATTACATCGACTTCGATGTGCGTTTTGGTATGCAATATTATTCCTGCATCACTGTCGTTCTTTTATAACTCGTTGACGTATGCATAAAACATGCCGAACATAAAGACGTGCAAGACAAACACGGCATATATGTCACTTTGACTAGTGTATTTAATGATATTATACAGGGAATAAGTTTATTACGAGTATTAATTAGTCGATAACTTGCATGATTTTTAGGCGACAGTCTCCGTAGGTCCGTTGCGCGGCAATACTTTAAAGTTATAACCAATTGCCTATATTTATATCTTGAAAATCTTCATCATCTCGCATTTAATTCAAATCGCAAGTTTAGTGTATTTCCCGTTTTTTTTTCTTTTTTAATTCTATAATACTCTGAGAAGATTATCTTTAAAGTCGTTTAGAGACCCACGAGAAGACTGTTTGACCACAATTATTATTGTACAGAACTATCATTCTAATTATATCAGATTTCTCTTTATATGAGCATTCTGTGCAATGTAAAACTGACAAATCCTTTCTCACGCTAAATCTAAAAGTCATCTTCAACCGGCAAACATTTGACGAATCGAGGTTTTACCTCATTTTTTTCTTTAACTTGCAGATAATTTTTAAAACACGGAATGCTCACTCGTATAACTTTGCATCTAAATCTAAAATAAATATTTCAAGTCTACATGAATAACGGGTCTCTTCCCTTTCGGGATGTATTTCACACTCATCTTAAGATCTAATAATCTCCGTGTATGGCAAATAAAAGGAAAGGTTTGAGCGTTAGCGATAACTTCCGCTTATGTAAGACAGCCAGCTTAAGTGCACCAGGTTTCTCCCGCGTTTCCCTTCCTATGCGGATATTGTTGAGCCAATTTGTAGCGGACTCTTTTTCGAAGAAGATTCATTTGTCATACGTAAAAGAAAGTACACGAGGAATAACATATTTCGCGGTTTACATCAGCTCGAAATAGCTCACGAACGCGAGACGGCAAAGCGAGCAAATCGTTCGACATTAAAGCACAGGCAATTTTATAGTGCATTAATTAGTCGCGATGAAGAATGAGAATGCAAAAGTTTACAACGTTGTAAATGCAAAAAGGGATAGAGGAGGAACCGGTGCGGCCGTTCGATGTAACGTCGCTATTTAATTCCCTTCTTTTTTTTTTACGCAAGCGATATTCGCCGTATTTTACAAGGTATACACACGGCGTATTCACGTATGACACCCTCGACCAAATCGTTTATGGCTTTATTGCCGCCGCCACTGCTCCATCCGCATGTTTTACGGCCATTTGTTTATTAGACGTTTTATTTAATTTCTCGACCCTCCGCTTGTATAACGGCATCGTAGCGACTGTTTCACACCAGGCTCTAAAGTGCGAAGAGTCACAATAGAGACGCGTGATTGCCCATTCGACGATTTCGGCGAACAATACGCGAGCGGCCTGTCAAAGATGTCTAAAATTGGATTATTCAATTTGAATGAAAAAAAAAAGGAAATGAAAAATTCAATTTTATTAGGCATCGTATTGCGTTTATTTTCTCATATAAGTGGGCGCGAAATCACGTCTCGATCATTTCTCTTCGAAAATCATGTGCGATAATGTCGAATTTCATTGCGTGACATAGCGGTCCGGAAGTGTCCACGTTATTGCGTTACGTTAATTACGCGCGAGGAGAGACTGGCGACGTTAATTAATATTTCACCGCCAGTAACGAATTTCGACGAACTGCAAGATAAATCAGTGAAAACAGTGAAAAAAACTTTTCCTGGATTCCAAGTACTTTGCGTAGTCGTAACTATCTTCTTTTACACACAAGTTTAAGCAAAGTCTTAAATTCTCGATGCGATTAACAGTCGTGTATTCGATCGCGTGTTTGATGAAAACAACGCCAATGTTTGAGAGATTAGCAACGTGTGAAAAAAATGGAAACAATAATTTAATTATAAGTTAACTTACACACAAAGAGAGATTACGTATACTTCACTACGCGTTACAAGTTACAATCGACAATACAGTCATCGAGCCTAACATTTTATGTATGGCTTACGCGTACCATTTCTCGTATCTTATTTGACAAAACAGTCATTCTCTCTCGAAGGAGAAAATTTTAACTCTGTTCGCTTCTAATCTCTTTCGCCAACTTCTTAATCGATAGTTAGACTCTAAATTAGACACTTATAGGACATTCGCTACTCTCATTGTACCCGCAAAGATTGCTCATCACAGGTGCAAAGAAATAACTCTCAAGTTATATATATATATATTAAGGTAATGTGTAAAAGCCATTCAATTTTCATTGAATGCGCTTCGCACGTATCGCTCAATATTTCTCTACACCCTGCAATACTACATATATTACCTACAGCCAACGATGTACGCTGTTATATCGTTCGCCCGAGATGGAGATTCATAATCGATGATTATCACGATATAGTTTGCGTTTTGCATAAATACACAACGCACCTTATCCCATAAACTCCTCTCGTGTTTGAGCGCTACAACATTCTTTTACATCTCCTTACTGACGACAATTCCGCAGGGTTGCACCACGCCAATATTGGGTAATCTCCTTCTGGGTGGAGATTTGCTCTCGTCCTTCTTCAGCAGCTCTTCTATCGAATAGGGATTCTTCTTCTTCTGCGGCGGCTGATTTTCCACCGCTGCACTTTCGTTCGTCGTCGTCATCGTCGTGCTCGGACTCGTGTTCTTCGTCTCGAGCATCCTGTGCGACGTAGGACGATCCTGCTTCAACGTCTCGACGATTGATAACGGGCTCTCTCGCGAGTTGTCCAAGTTTACGGCGTGCGAATTGGGCGTGGCGTGCCTGACGAACGCGCTTCGATCGCTGCCAATTTTCTGGCTGAGCTCTAAAATGATCGGTGTGCTTCGGAAGGACTTGTAGTGATCCTGTGAATCGACAAGATTCTCGTCTAGGTCGCTTTTATCCAACGAATCATCGCTGCCGGCCGTCGAGCTTGAGCTTGATTTCAACTCCAGTTGATTTTGCGCCCCGTTTTGTTCCGACAAACGTTCGGCATCCAAAGATCTGTAAAAGTAAATAAATTTATTATAATTTATTATAAATGCCTTTAATTATGATATAGACGTCTCTCGAATTATTGTATGTTGTTGGATTCTAAATTTTAAATTTAAAAATTGACTTACGCAAATGATTGCATCCCGTGCTGTAAATGCAAGGTGGTCGCTTGGTAGAGGGATGAGTAAAAACTCTGATTCCAGGACGGCGTGCCAGTGTTGCTGTTGCTTGTAGAGATGTGTAGCGGACCGAGGGTACCCGGGTAGAACAGCTGATAGTCGGTTCTCATGAGTGTATCTGAGAAAGAGAGAGAGGAATTGCATCTGTTATTAGTATAATTTCTGAATCGCTTCGGAAAGAAAATTATTCAAAAAAATCTTCAAAAAATTGTAGATATCATTACAATTAAATTTATGGGAAAAAATACATACATTTGCTGTATAAAACTGCTATCTAATAAATGAGGCTTTCATAATATTTCTCGAGCGTCGAAAATATTAAATATTTTTATCTCGATAACTCTATCCCGTTTATAAATTTTACTTGAAACTATAGTTTTCGCCCGTATCTTTTTAGTTACATTATTGTAAATTATTCCCAAATATTATACATTATTTACCACTGATGTGATCCGATTTTCTTTTCCAATTTATATTACAAATATGGAGCTATTGTCCGTGAAATAATATTTGAATGAAATACAAAATGCGAATTCTCTTCTAGCTAGCTGTCACTCGTGATTTAGCTATGGTTTAGGAGAAAGATGAAGATGAGAGAGCCCGGAGAGCTCGTTTCGCAATTAGCTGCTCAAAGCCGGTAAATTGAGCACCGCTTCCAGCATCCAACGGCACAAATTACGAAGCAAATTTTCCGTTTCGACAGCGCGGGATTGCGTGCCCGTTGCCCTGCTCTGCGTGGCTTTTGCTGACGAGTCAATCACGGCAACGGAGTGTCTCGAAATTTACCCCCTTCCCTCCCCCGTGCCTGCCTGTTCACGATCGCTCACCCTATTCTTCTCCTTGGCCTCGCTGGCCGTCGTCGTTTTCGGACATTTATCGTCTTTCTTCTGAAAATAACCGCAAGAAAGAAAAAAGAGAAAAGGTATCCGTCGCCGCGGAGCAATTCCACGCTAGGGACAGGTGTTTAAGGCGTCATTAGCCTGTAATAGTGCACTCGCAACAACGTAGCTTCGGCCTGCATATAATGACTCACAAAGTTTCGTATAGGGAAGATAGACGCGTCTCCCTCCACTCCCTTTTTCTCCCTCGATCGCAATCTATCGCTCGTCGTCATTTCTCTTCAACGTAGAAGATCGACATTGTTCCGATGACGAAAAAATCGCTAGCGATCTCTTAGTAACGTCGTCGATCCTCACCTCTGGTTCCAGCGTTCGATGGAATTTGCGACGTGTATCCGCTGGATGTACCGCTCTCGATGGCGGGGATATCCGTGTGGAGGCCACCGCCTCTGAGAATACGATTGACCGAAGATACGGATGGCAAGCTCTGGGGATCGCAAGCACCCTGGCGCGCGAGCTGCTCGCGAATCTCCCAGGCGAACATTGTCGGCTGCTCTTGCTTCATTCGCAAAATCTTTTTCACCACCGTCGGCGTGGCTACTTGCTGCAACAGTAAAGTAAAAATGTATTATTATTAATTATTACACGTATTATTATTAATTTTATTATTATTAATTATTAAATATATTTACTAATAATAACTATATTTTAACCATTTAATGGTTTAATTAAATATTAACTATATTTTAACCATTTAACCATTTAATAAGTTTAATTAACCATTTAATAATTTTAACCATTACCTATTAATAACCATATTTTAATAATAAGAGCGAAGACTGAAAATTTCAAAACGTCATAGAAAAAGAGAGAGAGAGAGAGACGATTCCGTCAATTTTTTACAAGAAAGACTGTATCGTACTGGACATTTTTCACACGTTAATTCTCGCCGTAAATAAACTTTCTCATCAATTCCCGTGACGTCCATCTTCCGTAAGGATGCTTATCGGTGGCAGAATGTGTGCGTCGTTGTTAATCATATCCGCGACTGGTCTTCCTTTTTTTCCTCTTTACAACGCGCGTTATCTCATCGACAAATTAACGTAAAGTGCGGTCACACTGTCGTCGGAGCGGTCCGCACGCGCATATGTCGTTCACAGGTGAAGAGTCGAGAGACGGGGTCGTCGATCAAGATAGCGCGGGGAGTCCGTCCGGTGGTGGGCGAAAATGGGTGCCCCTCGCTTTATTTCGATTTAGCCCCGGTTCACCCGCGGAAACGGGTTACCGGCCCCGCAACCCGTGCCCTGCCCTGCCACGGAGGCCCACCACCGGTCGTTCCTCCAAAACCGAAGGGCTCCAGCGGTGCTCAATCTGGCCAATTTGACTTGCTAATGAACGATAATGGCACGCGGATAATTTTATGCTAACGCGATGGAAATGTTATTCCGGCCGTACAGATTTCGAGATCGCCGATCTCTTTGAGGAGCGACAACGAGAAAGGTATCTCGCCGGGGAAAGGTAATCATCATCTTCACGGGTCCGCGCAGGAGTCCGGGTTTCTCTCTCTCCGCCAAGAGATACGTACGTACGTATCAAGAGCGGAACGATATCGCCGAATCTGTCGATTACCTCGCCGATCCATTTAGCGAGGAGGAGGAGGTGGAGGAGGAGGAGGAGGAGGAGGAGGAGGAGGAGAAGATCGATACCTTGGCGTTTCGCGCGCCGGTAATCCGTGCGCGCGTGGGTCCGATACGATCTCTCTCGGCAAATTGTTTGGCAGAGGAGCGGAATAAATACTCCGGGTGTGCAACTGGACAATGATCGATACGATCGGCATAAAGACAAACGGCGGACTGTCGACGCGTGTTCAGCAGTGTTAAGAGGAATTATAGGTCTCGAATGACGATAGGATCGTTATACGAATTCTCGCGTGATTGCTTGCCCAATCCAGCAGTCGTGTTCTCGTTAACGCGAGAAAAAATGTTAATCTCTACAATAACTCATAAACGTGAATCATAGACGTTGATTAATAGCGAACGATATTTTTATTTCGGATTTCGGGACAACCGTAGGATTGCGGAGACTGCCAAGATGGAGCTGGAACATTGAATACGCGAGCGAAAGCACCACTGGCAAGAACGTTTAAGGGCTAATGCCTCGGGGGTAGCAAAGAGCCCGAGAGAGAGAGAGGTGGAGAGAGAGAAGCGCCTAATAGTTTGAGGGAGTCGGGACAAGCATCGCGTGCTCCCGGGAGCATCTCAGATTCTAATCTGACACTTCCGTCGTCGTCGTTGCCACAATTACCCCAGGCTCGGACAATATATACGCGGTGCCTCCTAATGCGGACCCTCGCGTCGAGTCGCCGGGAACATCGAACGCGCGTACACGCGTACGTGTATGCGTGAGACCAACAGAGGAAATTGGCCGGACAGGATGGACATCTGGCATTATAAACGTTAGATAACCCGCGTATACCGGGCGCGTACAGGTTGACCAACTCCGGTAATTATCGCGCGCAAGTTGCTACAAGCGCCCCCGGATGCGTCGGCTCGTCGACGATAAGGATGACGACGGACGTCGACACTTTTCGCCCCATTTTTTCCCCATGCTTTTCTCATGCCCCCTGAGGACCAAACGATCGAGCCTTTTGGGCGCGAAAAAATTGAATAAAAAATAAAGGAAAAAGAGAAGTGTGAAAATGGTGAATGTCTAGAAAAATTGCCTCGATTTTTTTATATTTGAAATAAGGTAAAAAATCCTTTCTAAACAATGTGCTGTTTAAATTATGGAAATGTCGCTCGAGGTCCGAGGAAAACGAGACGTTTCCATTTGTCGCGACGCTCTTCGATGCCGCTAAATCATACATCGAAAAATAAATACCCACACCGGGCGGGGCCGATCAAATACGAGCGAGATCTTAATTGCCAGATAAACGGAAAAATGTCCGAGAGCGTGAATTGTATGCCGAGAAAATGGATGTTCCGACAGATCGAAACCCCGTGACAATAATCGTTCCACACGCGGACTTTTCCCCTCTCCCTTCTTCCTTTCCATCCTTAACAGTTTCGAGAAATTCCCGAGATCGCGATCGTAAATCGAGGATGGCGGGGGAGAAGGGATAAATGCGAAGGGACGATGCGTATTCCGCATCGAGGCGTTATCCGCGTGTCGTATTATATACGGGAGAGAGAGAAACTTTGCGATTTTTTTTCCCCCGACGTTCCACTTTATTACCGCTTTGACGCGGCCCGTGCATTTTTCATGAGACAATTTTCTCTGTCATGCCGCCGGCCCATTATCCAGACGCGTATCGCATCGACGATAGAGCGAGCGAGAGGGAAAGAGGTAGATAACGGGGAGAAAGTACGCGGACATGCCTCGAAAATGTTACGTACCTAGTACCCGGGGTAACACGTGTAGATTCGCCGATAATCGGTCGATTAATTTCGCGGGATCGCACGCTAAATTGCATCGCACGACGCACCGAGACGGAGAGATCGTGTATATCGCAGGCATACATATACGTATACATACATTACATCTCGCGCTCTCTCGAAAGCGAATTTAATTAAACGCCGGCTCCGATCGGAGATTCTACGGCAAATCCGTCTGGAGGAGCGGGCTTTAAAATGAAATGCGCCAAATTTGACGCACCAAGTCGTCATTCGTTGGCGATGAAGGGCGACATCGTGGGATACGCGGCGAGAGAGCGCGGAAAGTCGTAATAACAGACTGAAAAAATGGGGAGCAACGTAATCTTGACAGGGCGCGTTCATCTTACGTTACTCAGCAGTAAGATCGGAACGTTCTCCGCTTGATGGATATCGACGCGGTGGAAGGAACGAGGGGGTCGGAGGTACTAGTTAAATGTCAGTTCTCCGAGACCCGACGAGTTAATACTGCCAGGCAATCAAAGGGTTTACCTAGTAGCCATTATTTAATTATCGGCGTAATTTTAAGAGCCACTTATGGCCGAGCGGATTATGACGAGGCACCAAGCCGGTTATCTAACGATCATCCCGAGAGGAGAGATCTTTTGTGCGGACGACAGACGGGCGGGTGGACGGGGTGCGAAAGGTGCGTTGCGAGGCGAGAAGCCTCGATTCTCTTTGTGCGCACACTTACTTCTCGACGGCCATACTTTTTCCTAATTTCTCCCTCAAATTGCCGCCATTTTGTCGCAAAAGGAAAACGAACAGGGAAAAAGAATAGGAAAAAGAATAGAGCGGACGACGGTTAAAAATGACTTCGGGAGCCACGCGATATTAAACGCGCGATCGTTATTTCGCCATGAGACTATTTTGACATACGTAAAATAAAACCGAGCCGCCAGTAATGGCGGATGATGACTATCGTTTACATGCGCGCGTAATCGGTTCCCGCATAGCCGGAATTTAAATGCCTCTTCGGAGCTCCTACGGCGGGCCACGTTTCTCTCTCTCTCTCTCTCTCCCTTTTTCTCTTTCTCCCTCTTTCTCCCTCGCTGTCTTCTCTCGCCAGTGCAGCGAATTCGAACTTGAGGAAGGTCGACGTACGCCGACGCGCGTAGCGTTATTAAAATAAATTCATTAAGCCGAAACGAGCGCGGAGTAACACTGTACGGTCGGCGCGTCGTAAGAAATTCTCAGTGCATGCGTACCGTGCAATTATATTGTCATTAGCGGCGTCGTGTATGTGCGCGATACATCGTCGCTGTATTGGTGGAGCTTTGCGATGCGCACCCGGGGGGCGAGATTGGCCTTCTCGGGAGACCAGACGTGGGACACGCGCGGTAAAAACTGCGACTCGTCGTTAAATTTCGTGACGAGAGAAGGAGGCAGCGCGATTTCATCGTCTCTCGCGATCGATGACAATTTTGCGAATCATCTACTTCGAGTGCGAATTCGAAGAAGGGGTTCCTTTTCGATCGATTAGTTTTTCAAGAGGGCATCGAAACGCGTCGTTCGAGCTAGATTGTCCTAGGAGCTCCGTTGTCAGCGAGAAAACACGTGCCAAGAAAGCTATGAAATTATGGAAATGCCGAATCGTGAGCGGCAAGGTGTTTGGATAATTGTACGCACGGAAAACACAGCCCTTACTTAAAATCACATCAGGAATATCTGAATGCACGACTCTGAACGAGGAGGAGAAAGAGGGGAGGGATGGAGAACGACTCATCAGCGGCATCGCTCGCTAACGCATACAGATGCGCACGATCGTGCTCGTTTTCACGTTTTTGCAAAGCTACCGACATTAATCTTTTTCCAAAGTCTGGTACTCTCATTGGCCATTTTACGCCGTTTTTTATTTTTTAAATTTTATTTTAAAAATTCGATACTTAATTAAATTTCTCCCCAGAGGATACATTCTAAATCATATATCTGTAAACTTATAAATACTTTTTTAGATGTAGTTTATATATTTATAGTAAAGCACAGTATTTTTATTAAGTTAAAAAATTTCGGAAAATCTTAAACATATGGACTGATTTTAATAAAGCTTTTTCAAGCTCTAGGATTTTTTAATAAAAACATTTAATAAATAAATATTTTAAATAAATATTTTAAATATAAATTTACCTAAATATTTTACGTTTTACAAATAAAGACTAATTTTACAAAAAAAATGCTATAAAATATATATTTTGCTAAAAGTCAGCGAGAGCTTACCTTCGTTTTGCTTCCGCCGATGCTGCCGGGCCGGATACTTCCCGTCTCGTAGAATCTCGTGAGTATCTTGGAGACGCAGCCGTGGGAGACGAGTAGCTGCCGCGAAATGTCGCACGGCCTGACGCCGACCATGGCGAGTTGCACGATCCTCTGGCGCACGCAGTCCGGCAACGGCCTGCCGTTCACAAAAACGCCGCCTAATTGATTTACCCCGGCTTGTCCTGGAACAGCCGATCGCGATTGTGTTGCGGTTAATAAAGAGAAATAACGATGGCGCGCTCGATAAAATCTGGCGAGGCTCGAGCTGCAAATTCGACATTTCGCGGCAAAAGATACCGCGAAAGGTGTTTATCGATTTAGGGGACGGACAAGTCGGAAATATCCGCTAATAGTGCGCTCGCGATCGTCCGGGAAGGTCGGCAGGTGCATTTTTTGACGTGCGGTCCTGGCTAGTCCTCTAATGACATCGTTACGACGAATATCACGGAAAGGACCGTCCTCCCTTTCTGTTCGTAAAGGCAAAGACGTGTCATTATTTTCCGTAATATTAGGAAGGAGATCGTGTGTAGCGATTTCACAGCGAAATCCCGATGTCTCCTTACGTCTCCTCGAGGCTCATTTGTAATTAACGTGAATCAAACGAGCATTTCGCCGCTCTTATGCAACCGGAGTTACGAGACAAACATATTAAATGTTCGTTAACATGTGCGACAAGTGTTGTCTCGGCACTTACGGGCATACGCCTTTCACGAAACTTTATTTATTTGAGTGTGTGCGCGAAAAAAAAACGCCCGTAAATTACTTCCTGTTTACGCGCGATTATTTCTTCGAAAGCTTGCTCAAATGTTCTCAAATGTATGTATAATTAGACGATATCTCTTTTACTGTAAAAAAAAAAACAACTTTCTGTTTAATAAAATTTCGACTTTACAACATCCGAGTTTCGGAACCTAATAAAATTAATAAAATTAACATATTAATAAAATTAACATAATGTTGCGACGAAGACCCGAGATGAAATTTAGACTCGTCGCAGAGAGATTGACAGGAGAGTCCCGAGGACGATCGTTTTAGAGATGTAGCTCTCGCCTTTTTTTTATATTTACACATCCATAAAATGTTTAATGGCGTAATTTGTACTCATTTCGACGCATTACAATGCGCAGACTTACATCACGGTGAACGGTGAAATTATTTATGCATTACACGTTTTGTATAGATCAACTGTCGCGCGCGACTCGAGCCGTCCAAAATTTTATAAAATCGATATTATTCGACGAGCGGTATCGTAAAACCGTAATGCCGGACTCAGCTTATGTGAATAAAAACGATCGATCGATCGATCACCGATTTTATATCCGCTATAAAGAGAATAAACGATTCGCATGTTTGACACGTATCAAAAGGCGAATAATATTTAAGCTGTACGGTAGTTTCTGTTTGCGTTTCCTTTTACTCACGCGAATTACAAACATCAGAAAGAAATCGTCACTGAGAGAAAACTGCCAGAATTATAAAGCCGCATTATAATATCTTCCTGGTCGCGCAAAAAGTCTCTGATTCTTAATCACTCGATAATCTGCATGCTTAGTTGATAACATAATGATTACACATGATTCGCGTAAGAATTTTATAAAGGTTTCTGTTAATATTCAATGGATATCCCGTCTATTTTATAATCATAACAATTGACTCAATTTATTATTTAATTGATTAAGAAAATTAAATATTTATCATTAATTCATAAATATTATTACATAATATACACTATATATTATTAATGGATTTATTATTTTAATGCAAATCAAGATAAGAAAGAAAGGTTTATGTAAGGACACGAAAAAAGCAATCTCTTAAATAATTGTCAATCGGATGTATAAAAGTTTTCACGAATAATATCACGCAATGGAAATAATCGGTTTTATTCCTCGGCGATTATTTTCGACGTAACTGAGATGAAGGACCTTCAGAGAGGCTTCACACAGGAGCGGCGTTACTAACGACGATCCTTTGAAGGAATATAAAAAGTATAGAAAAAGGCTGCGAAAACATTAAATGCCACGGGCAACCTGTATAAATCGAGCCACGCGCCTTCACGTAGAAGACGGATGCACGAATGAACTGTGCGCGCCGGGGGACGATCGCTAATTATTATCCGAGCCGGCTAATTATGTCATTACCCGCACCGATCGCCGACGCCGACAGCACCAGACCGACTCGAGAAATAACGATCTCGGAGCCAAAGAAAAGATTTTCGTCAATCTTTTCCACCGCCATTACGTTCGGATTCCTCGAATCTCGCGGGTTTTATTTAACGCTTTGCCAACTAATTGACGGACGATCCCGCGATTATTGCTCGATGAGACCTTCATGCTCTGGAATCGCGTTAATAATTCGATTCCTGCGACCGCAAAAGTTGTTCGTTTCAAGAAAGCATGGTTTAATTTGCTGAAATTTATTTTCACAGTCTTGGAAATATTTCGAAGTTATTTTTGTTTCTCTCGCAAATGGAATTTTACTTTTTTCTATATAAATCTACTCGTCATTAGCTATTGCGATTAATGAGAAAATTAAAAAATTGTGGAGTAAACGTAATCGCGGTAAAATATTTATTATGTTTTAGACACAAAATATACGTGCGTGTGTGTGTGTGTGTGTGTGAGACGAAATGTTGCTTTTATATAATTTTAACATCACAACGTGTACGTGACGCTCGCAACATAATGGTCGTACGAGGAAATTGCTGATAATAACCATCGGTCGAAAGTGTGACGGATTGTCCTTATTGGATAATTTAAGCATCTCTCGATTGGTGTGACAGAAACACCCCACACCTGTGAGACTGCGACTCGTATTCGGGGAAGAAATTACCACGCTTCCAGCTGTAATACGCGTGTCACGTTTTAATTATTATACTACAAGTCTAATGCATATAAAAAAATACTTATTTTATCGATAAATAAATATTAAATATCTAATCGATATAATAGGTCGTATTTGATATGCACTACTAAATTAATATTATTTTTCGATTTTCGTGTAATCGATTAATTATTCGTCCCTTAATGTCCTCCATTCGCTCTGCCGAGCTCAATCTGTGACGCGATTGCACGAAGATTATACACGCTATGCGTTTCGGACGGATGTGACGCGACGCGAAGCGACTGGCGCACAGCGGGCCAAATTATTATTACGGCAAAAACCGGCCGAAATGTCTTTATCTAAGTGCAAATCTGGATCCGGCGGATCCGCCGAAATAATGGAACTGCGCGTTAACGCAGTGATGGTTCTGAGCGCGCATTGTAAGTAGGACAGACCACTCGTTTATGCGAAATAAAAACGCGCGCGGCGACGATCGAAATACCGGAAACGCTCGATCCGCAAACGGCCAAAGTCGAGGGGCGGCGAACCCGCGGAGATGAAGAGTGTAGAATTAGAAAAAAAAAAAGAAAAAGAAAAGAGACGAAATGCGCTATAAATTCTGATGCGAATATGAGCGCGTGACGCGGGTTCAAGTAACTGTTATCTGCACTAACGGGACGTTTGCGACAATTAAAAGCGTGATAAACCGCGCGCACTTGTCGTAAACGACGAATCGAACGTCTAAAGGATCTATTTTAGATCGTTAAATATATAAATGCGCATTCGAGAAATATATATTATTCCGTTTACCCAATTTTCAAGAATTATCTTGTTCCTTTCTCTTGATTATGTCAGCAGAAACATTATTTAATTTATGTCAATAAATTTTTTGTATATATAAACGTCTTTTATAGAGTCTGTGAATTTGGAATTTAAATATTTTTTTAAGAATATCTATCGATATTATGGGAAAAAAATATGACACTCATCTCTTCCAAAAAAAATCATTTAATTTATATCGATAAATTTTATATCCATATTTTTTACAGATTCTGTGGATTTGGAATCTTCTCAAAATACTTGGGAAGAGATGTGACACTCATCTCTTTCGAGATGCCAGTTAATTTGTGTAATTGTCAAGGTGAGACGCGCCGTTGACCTTGATTAAATCCCTGATTGATAGTACGGTGATTTTATAAATGAGAATTGAAAGAATTTTATTAGCCGGAACGCTGGGACTCGTACATAATTTTGCACAAATTAGCTGTTTCGACACTCTTTCTTTGCATTAATACGATTTCCTTGATTCTTGACCTGCCGTTGACGACAGACAACTCGTTAAATCACTGATAATAATAATAAAATATTCTTAGAATTTCTTATCATTTAGATTACACGTTCAATGTAAGCGAATACATTTACATATTATAAAACAATATAATGTGTAAATCGACTTTGATCTTTTTATTTTGCCATCATCACTACCTTTCGATCAAAGAATCATAACTATCTTACATTATTATGTCAAAAATTATGACTTTATAAGTAATCACCATTTTTAATGGCTTCTTATCTTCCTGCTCATCTTTATCCAACAGAGTACACAAATTGTCGAGTATAGGGTACTTTTGAGAGATACTTTCGCGAGTACATAAAGGAACATCTCTCCGGATATAATACCGGCTTAGCTTAGAATTAGCCGGCTAATGCGATCGCCAACAACGATGCCTATCGCGCTGGCCATTTAAGGCCCTAACCAAACTCTACACCTGCCTACCTGTAATCATGATACGCGACCATGCCAACACATTTTTTTCTCTCTGACGAGAGCGAGCATGTCGCATCGAGGATCGCCGCCGTTTCGAATCAATGCCGAATAGCGTGTCTCGCGAATCGACACGTATGGGTTGGGAAGCTATTCGGCTCGTTCGCTATCGGCGATCCGTCATCATCTGTCTCGAAAGAATACACGCGGGAGAGATAGCCGTAAACGGGAATGTATTAAGATGGTTAACTGCGACGGGTATTATTAAGCGTTTATCGCTCTAATGATTATCTGCGGCTTCAATGTTCCCGATAATTAAAAAGTAACATGTGTAATGAATTCGCTGATAATTAAAAGGTAACATTGAATCTCGAGATGCGCTTTAGGGAATCCGATAACATCGCGTAATAATAATAATATCTGATACGTGATACATCTAGATTTATATAATCTCTATAATTTTCCGATTTTCCTTTATAATTTTCCGAAATTTAATTCTCTTATATTTCTTATAAATGTATCCCTTATAATTTTTCGATAACATGTTCCTAAATTGACTTATTCCTATAATTCATAAAATGGTTATGCAAATTAAAATGTTTCTTTCAAGATTTTTCTCCAATTTGTTAAAAATGTTGCTAGTGATTTAACCGGGATTTCTTCATCGCAAATTGTTCGACAAGATTCAAATCAGCGATATTCATTTCACATAATATAAAATTTCTACGGTACAAGACTGACAGACTAGCTAAAGAAATAGTCTTTTCAATTTAAAAAATCGTTGGTATCTCGTCGGAGGAAGAAAGGATCGATCGCTCGATCGGAATTCAGACAGGATTCTTGATACGAGCATCACGGCCAGACTCAAGAAGGAGTAGAAGAGGGGACGAGATGGAAAATTGTAATTAAACTCGTTTAATAATAAGCCCGTATATTCTCGGCGTTCGATTCATCTTATAAAAGTCTACGTTAATTACTATCAAACTGCTTCTAAATCGTAATTTAGCCTCGAGTCGGCCAAAGTAAGCGAGAAGGATTTTTACGCAGAAAGATAGAGAAGGGGGAAATTTTAATTTTCACTATACTCGATTTTGCGAAAGAGGTTGTCCTGTGATCTCGCCGACGCGACGGTGGCTGACCCCGTCCCGAGGAAACCATAACGATGTGTTAGGTTCCTTCGCGCATAAATCAGGAAGCAGAGCCGTGGGATTGGCTATTTAGCAAACCGGCCAGCGTGATGTCTCCCTCGTAAAAAAAAAATTTGCATACCAGCTATTTGTATACTACTGGAATTTAACTCGAGATTTTTAACCCCTCTCACGTAATATTGCTTTCTCGAAAAGGACGAAATAGAAATGCATTCACGCAATTGCGAATTTACTGTCCAACTTTATATCATTTTTATAATAAGAAGTGACAATGTCGTGCAAATAAATGACAAGTTTTAACTCATCGTTTACTTAAGGTGTAACGCGACTCTAGAGAATTGTTTCAATCCCGACCGGGCTCTTGGAAGAATGAAATTTCAAAGGATGCAAAGGATATAAAGGGAAGAGCGAATGTGTACTCACCGGTATGCGGCATGTCGACGACGAGCAGTCACGTCAATCTGAAACAGAGCAAGTACAGGACTCTTTAAGACTCTCCACGGCAAACTGTAAGTCATACGGTGCAGCCTACGTGAAACCTATAGCGCGCATCGCGCCGTATTAAATCCTCGCGAGCACGTACATGTGCGCGCGCGTGTTACACCGTGCGACGTATTATAGAGTATAGCGGGAGTATAGCCTTCGCCATTAATGAATTTAAATGTATTCAAAGGGCGCGCTTGACGCTTGACATGGCAACCCTTAAATATGCAACCGTACCGATAAGCGAAAGCGCGGCAAAATATTGCCGCCGGTGGTCGCCGACCGTGACTCTCATTCCCGAACGGATCGTCGCGACGGGCTCTCCTCGTCCTCCCCCTCCCCCTCCCTCATCGCGACAACTTCATTTTCATATTTTCGTTTGACAGTTTTTGCGTCGATCGCGCAAAAAAATTCACTCGCTGATCGATGGCTGTTTTCTCGTCCGTCCTCCAGCATTCGCGATCTATCTCTTTGGTATTGTTCGATTCACCTGGTTCCTCGATCGATGATTCGCATGACGATGACGCACGATTGTCGCGACGACGGTCGAGGAATCGCTGCCTCGAGTTTGAGAACTGCACGTCGGACAGAAGCGGAGCGAGCGGAAAACTACGTGGAATGCGTGCGTAGCGTGGCGGGTGGCGTGTACTTTGTGATGCAAATTAATGCACGATTACCGAATCACCCCTTGCTCCACCCCTTGCACGACCACCGCGACTACCCTCCGCCTCTCTCGCTCTCGCTCTCCTCGCACAGGTGTGCATGTGTCCACGTGTATTTGTGTAAAACGTGTACAGCGAAAGCGGGGACGTGTAATAAGGTACGATCCGCCTTCACCCCGTGACTCGATGCTTACCCCGGCATTAGGCCTGGTTACACGCTCGCTCCCCGAGCTCTAATCTGATGTAACTATTACATACGTTACGCGGTATCCATATAGTCGAAATGGCTATGCGCCACACGGAGCCTCGACGAAAACTCATTTCTTCATCCGCCGTGTCCTTGCGGTTACTCCACTTTCCGGCTAATTGCTAATTTGCATCGCTTCGCGAGCGAGAACGCTATTTCTTTTCCTCGCTTCAATCTGTCAAAAATGCTTTTGAATTAGTTTCATTCGTCATTAATTCTCTGTAAATGACAAATACGTTAAAGATCTAGAAAATCTGTCGCGATGAGCCCCCGACTTTATGAAAAAAAAAAGTCGATTAGAGGGATATATCGCTTCGCGAGCGAGAACGCTATTTTTTTCCTTCGCTCCAATCTGTCAAAAATGCTTTTGAATTAGTTTTATTCGTCATTAATTCTCTGTAAATGACAAATACGTTAAAGATCTAGAAAATCTGTCGCGATGAGCCTCTGACTTTATGAAAAAAAAGTCTATTAGAGGGATATATCGCTTCGCGAGCGAGAATGCTATTTTTTTCCTTCGCTCCAATCTGTCAAAAATGCTTTTGAATTAGTTTTATTCGTCATTAATTCTCTATAAATGACAAATATGTTAAAGATCTAGAAAATCTGTCGCGATGAGCCTCTGACTTTATGAAAAAAAAGTCGATTAGAGGGATATATCGCTTCGCGAGCGAGAACGCTATTTTTTTCCTTTGCTCCAATCTGTCAAAAATACTTTTGAATTAGTTTTATTCGTCACTAATTCTCTATAAATGACAAATATGTTAAAGATCTAGAAAATCTGTCGCGATGAGCCTCTGATTTTATGAAAAAAAAAGTCGATTAGAGGGATATATCGCTTCGCGAGCGAGAACGCTATTTTTTTCCTTTGCTCCAATCTGTCAAAAATACTTTTGAATTAGTTTTATTCGTCACTAATTCTCTATAAATGACAAATATGTTAAAGATCTAGAAAATCTGTCGCGATGAGCCTCTGATTTTATGAAAAAAAAGTCGATTAGAGGGATATATCGCTTCGCGAGCGAGAACGCTATTTTTTTCCTTCGCTCCAATCTGTCAAAAATGCTTTTGAATTAGTTTTATTCGTCATTAATTCTCTATAAATGACAAATATGTTAAAGATCTAGAAAATCTGTCGCGATGAGCCTCTGACTTTATGAAAAAAAAGTCGATTAGAGGGATATATCGCTTCGCGAGCGAGAACGCTATTTTTTTCCTTTGCTCCAATCTGTCAAAAATACTTTTGAATTAGTTTTATTCGTCACTAATTCTCTATAAATGACAAATATGTTAAAGATCTAGAAAATCTGTCGCGATAAGCCTCCGACTTTATGAAAAAAAAAAGTTGATTAGAGAGGGATACATCGCTTCGCGAGCGAGAACGCTATTTTTTTTGTCTACTCCAATCTGGTAAATGCTTTCGAATTAATTTCATTCATCATTAATCCTCTGTAAATGACAAATACGTTAAAGATCTAGAAAATCTATCGCGATGAGCCTCCAACTTTATGGAAAAAAATCGATTACACGAGAGGGATAACGATGAGGAATGAGCTTCTTGTTCCGGAAGTACTCGATACTTTTGGCTCATTCGATTACATCGACGAGGATAAAGTCTCTCTTAATGAGAATTGAGTGATTATTATAAATCAAACGTACCCGGTTCCAGCCGGAGAGTCGTCGCGTTTCTCGCGTGCCTTTTGTGTTTTGCCGATGTTACTCTTGCAAACACGTGTCCTGTCCTTTCCTTTTCTTCTTCCACTCGCTCTTCTAGCAGATTAAACGCATGCAAACGTCGCAAACACGCGTCGTGCTCTCTACATGTGCACGCGGATTTTTATTCTCTCGCAAGAGGTGAAACCTCTTAATATTTTTTACTAAAAATTCTGTTTCGATCTGCTTCAAGTATGCAAAGAATTCCTTTCCGAAAATAATTAAAAATTTCTTTTCTTGCAAACGAAACGCTACAAAAGTCAAAGAAATTCTAGTCTCGTCAATTAAGAAATAGATCAATAAAAGTACATTTGAAGTTTAATCTCGATGGACATTTCTCACTTCGATTCGTAGAATCTTTCGGCAGCGAAAGAATACGACACGGATCGATTTGAGAACCGCGACGCCGCGGTAAATCGCCGGTATAAGGTCACGCTTTTACGTGTAAGCCCTAAGCGAAATCTAGTTTTTGTTTATTCATTAGGCTACCCCGCGCTTTAAGTGGTACGTGGAGGAAGGCTGCCTCGCCGCAACGGCGACGGTGGTATAGGTATACTGGGGGAAGGAAGGAGGGAAAGAGGGAGGGAGAGAGAGAGAGAGCGGGGGAGAGCCGGGGGGTGGACCGCCGTATCACCGATACGCCACCAGCCATAAAAATCTGAATATATTAGGCCTACATGCGCACGACATCTCGCTCGGATCGTGAACACGTTACCCGCGATAATCTACGCTCGTTTCCAGCACACTTTGCACGTTTATGCGTATACCGCGGCTACCGTTCGCAAGTTTATCTCTCTTCTTCCCTTGTCGTCGCCGGTGCATCGTCTCCCTCTACGCTACCAATTTTCGAACCAAATTATTCTCTATGTAATTAAGGATCATTTTATTATTATCCCGATTCGTCGCTCTCAGTTTGGAGGAGCGAGAGAATTTAGCGAATGCGAAACGATCAGCGTGCACTCAGGGTACCTATTCTCTGGAAGAACGTGGAAAACCTGGGATTCTCAGGGATTTCTTTTATTTCTGACAAATCAGAGAGTTTGCATGGAATTTTATTGAAACTCAGAGAATTTAAAAAAAATTCTCTCTTTAATTATTTTTCTCTTGTATTGCAAACAATTCGTAAAATAAGTAAAAATTGTGTATTTAAAATATATTATAAAGACTCGTATATATCTATCTCTGTTCATGTATTATTCAACATTTTAACAATTGAATGCAATGAGTATTTTTTATTATAATTTCAGTGATAAGAAAATAAAAAATGTTATTTCAGTGAAAAATTTTGATCTCATTCGATATACTGGAAACTCAAATATTCTTTCCTTCGTACAAGTGAAAAGCATACCGAGAAAATGTATATAGTAAAACAATTTATTTTAAAACATTGCATTACATAAAAAAATCTTAGAATGTTCTCTGAAATTTTGAGCAAAAATATTTGAAGGATCATGAATTTTTTTTTGAGAAAATTTAATTACAAGATTTGAGAGTAGGCATTCTGAGTAAAATTTATAAACGTTAAGCTGCCAATTGCTCGCTCGCCCTGGTTCGACAAATTTTACCCTACGTGTTTCGATGTTTATTTAATAAATTTTACATACGTAATCTCGCGAGTGAAATCAATTTCCGAGGGAGAACTTTACGTGCGCTTTATCCACAGCAATGTTCAAGGTTAACATTACCGTTGTATAAATGCATTTGATCTTTCGCGAATCACGCAGCGCTAAATTATCCCGATGCGCAGACTCGGGAGCGCATACTGATCCTCGAATTTAGGATTTTTCCAGTTGTGCGTTCAAATGGCCGAGCGGATAAGCTTTCGAGAGCACGATAAGAAAGATCGGCGAGAAGGAAGGGGTCCGAGGGGAGGGAGGGGCGGGTAATTAGAATAATTCGGGCCGCCGTGGTTCACGCCACCCGGACGAATTTGCATTTTAAATGAAGCGATGGCGTGCCAGGGGCCCCACGGCCGCTGAGAGAAGAAAAGGAGAGAGAGAACGAACGCGGTAGAGCTCTGTACTTTATAGGGAACTTTAATATTTATCGCTTATATCCTCCGACCGCGAATATAAGTATATGTATATATCCGCCTTTTCCTTCCTCGGCCACCACCGCCGCAGTCACGGGGGGGCTCGCTCGTGTTCATGTCGAAGCATAGCCCCTGATTTCCTTCTCGATTCTCTCTCGCGTCGCCCCTTCGCCCCCCTCGTGCTCGTTGGATCATTATCGCGTAATTAGCGCCGCTGATTTTCACGTTGCGTCATCGACACGCACATGCTCTAGGATAATTTTATAATTTTCATTTGCTTGAAACGCGACAATGTTCCGCGGAGACGATTCCTCGTTATCGATCTCCGTCCTGTGGGTTTTTTTTATCTTAGATTCCGATGCGGATAATCAGGTATCGATAAGTATCGAATATCGAAACTTTTGATGCGAGATACCGTGAGGGGAGTCTACGTCGTGCACGTGCGCCGCGAGCGCAAAACTGCGTTCGAGAATGTCATTTATTTAGGTCAGATGATTATCGTCAACAAGCGCCGTAAATGATAAAGAAAATATATATATTTTTTCTGATCGTTAAATAACATAATCGTTAAGTAAAATAATCGTAAAATAATCGTAAAGCGCTAATTCCCGACTCGGAAAATATATACTTGAATAAGGAAGCTTAAAAGATTTCAGTCACTTGAAAAGGAGAATAAAAGAGCTGCAAGTATCATTGATTATAGCAAACAGTTGAGGAAGCAGAATTAATTGCGACTTGCGGACGCTGTTATAGCTGTAGGGGTGAGTTTTTCTCGATTCGCAAGCGACACTTATCGACGTTTATGAAAGTCAACGTTGAGATATGCCCGGTGTAACGCGGTAGGCACCGAGCGTATAACAAGTTCGAGGCGGATCGGTCTGTCTAATTGGCAAGAAACTTGACGGATAATTTATTTATCTAACCGGATGGCCCCAATCGTACGCGGAAAACATCCGTCACGGTGCGTTTTTGCGAAGAAAAAGAAAGAGGGAACGGCGCTTCCCCTTCGTACGTACCTGTTGACTTTATTTACGATATCGGCCCGTAGCTCTCCTCAGCTTCCGAGTGGCATTCGCTCTCCTCGAGGACCCTCGAGAAGGTTTCGTCTCGCTCCGTTCTTCCTCCTCCTTCGGGTTTTCCGCTTCAATTTAATTCGCGTCGAAATGGATACTGATGGTACAACGTCATGTTGCCGTAAGTCAGAGTCCTGGCGAGACGTTTCGTCCTGGCGTGCGTCGCGTGCTCGACTCACGCAGGAAATGACTTCGCTTTCACGGCAATGAGACGTGGATGTGACACGAAAGCCGGAAAGACGGAAAGAGATAGATGAAAAAGAGCGAGAGAAAGAGGTTGGCTGACTATATATAATGATACACCCACGAGCACACGTCAGATGACAACATGAAGGTTTCTCTCGACGACCACCTTCCGCTGTGCGAACCGATGATCTGCTCTTTATCTCCGTGCGCTTCCTTCCGTCATTCGTTCCCTGTTCTTATTCCGCTCCGATACCCGCGCGGAAACGTGCGGTCGAGTGTCCTTGATGAAGTCGCGAGGTGGACGTTGCTCTTTCATTCAGAGTCATAACGATCTCATCGGACGCACATGTACGCTCGAGTCCTTTAATGACGCGAGCAATCGTGAAAATCCTGCTCGTTTCGATGGAATCGTGTTCGTATTTAATCGCACAGATGTAAATACAATAATTTTGATAGGTAGAATTTCGTCGATCAACGTCGTCCTGATCGCTGACAGAATGTTGGAATTTCCACTCGAGAAGCTCTCTGCCTCAACAATATTCTTCCACATCCACTCGATTGGAGACTCACTGGTAACCACGCGTTCAACTTCCGACCGCTCAAGATTGTAGTTCCGTGATTCCACGAGACTTCCTTCTCCTCTTCTCGACAAGCCGGTACTCGCAGGCTCGTTGGCAGAGCACGTGCGGCTACTTCTGGTAGTCGGCGGAGTAGCAAGGTCCGCGCGACGCGAGGGCAAACTCGCGGTGGAGACCGCAAACTGCGGTCGGTCGGCCGGCTCGGCGAACGCGCTCGCGAGGAGAAGGACGTACGTCAGCGAGGCAGTCGATGAGGCAGAGGTAAGAGGGAGAACTGTGCCTGGACGGGCACAGGTACCGACGAGCGGAATACGGCAAGGGCGCGAGAGCGCAGCGAGAGATATACGCGGGCGTGCGTGCGCGCGCGCGCGCGCGGGAGGGAAAGAGAGAGAGAGAGAGAAAGAGAGGCGGTCAGGACAGGATGATGTGGACCACGCGGAGGACACGGCGTGTCTGAAGTGGGCTCGGCCCGCAAACGGGGGTTACGGGCTTTGCTTTCGGTCAGGTCCCCCGTACCCTCTGCTACCGCCTGTACCTCGTGTCTACTCCTGGCTCGGTCGTACGCGTCGTGTGTGTACGCCGCGGCAAGAAAGAGAGAGAGAGAGAGAGAGAGAGAAGGAGAGAGAAAGAACGAGAAGCGAACCGAGAGGGAGAGAACGAGAATCAGAAGGGAGGGAGACAGAAGGTGACGGTAGCGTGTCGTCGCGTGCTGGATGTTGTATCGGGCAGGTCCGCGTGGCCTGTGACTCGTGGCCCGTGGCCCGGGTTGCGCCCGTGATCAAGCGCGGTCCCCCGTAGCCCCCGCCAAAAGATAAATAAAGAGAGAGAGAGAGAGAAACGGCGAGAGATTGGAGGGGTTGACTCGCCCGAGGAGAGAGAAAGAGCCCGGGGGTGGGCCGACAAAACGCGTTCTCTCTCTCTCGCTACTTCTCGTCTTCTCCTATTCGAAGCTTCCCCGAAGAGGAGCTCTGCTCCTTTACCTTCTCGTGCCACGTTTTCCCACTCTCTATTTTCACACGGCTTTTCTTCTCGCTCTCTCGTACGCATGCATCCTCGCGCGAGGGTAGTTTGTTCTCTTTTTCGCAGATTGACTTCGCGATGTTCCCTGCATCGTGTATCATAAGTAATGTGTAATTATAGAGTATAAAAAAAAAAAAATGCCTTTCCGGAAGATTGTTTCGCAACGTGTCCTTTTTTGCGATCATTCTCGTCATCGCTCATGTAAATTAGTCGTATTTTTTTGCAACGCTACTCCTCGCAAGAGCTGTTATGCGTGACAATTACATCTTCAATGCGCTGCGTGTTGCGTCAAAAGTTTTTTTCAACGCTTTGAAACTTTTCCACTGTGACGCGCACGCGAATGCACGGCTCGCACGAGCTATTCTTGGATTGAATGCGCAGAATTTTTAATCCAATTGAACGCGCGGTACTTTTAACCGAATATAATGAGCCAATTTATATGCGCGTTTTGTTAAAACGAGTACAATGCTCTCACGAATTTGATATTTTTTCGAGATATTTTCAATCACGCGCACTCGAATCTCCGCGTCCGGTCCTAAATTTTACTCCTCCGAGTGTAAGGGTGACGTTCAATGTCAATAGGACAGGGGGCGGACGGCGAAGCGTTTAGCGGTCCTTTGTCTCTCGTTCGACAAAACACGCAAAAGACGTTTGTAAGGCGAGAGGTTGTGTAATACTCACAATCCTTTTGAGGAAGACATAATCGTTCGGACACGCGAGAATCTGTACAATCGGTAGTCCCGATGAGTTCCACGAAGATCAAAGTACGTGATCGGTTCGCGCGGTCGCAATCTGCGTCGGTCCTTGGCTGTATTCTTACGCAAGAGGCACGTCTATCCATTCCGCTCTTTCTCTCTCTTTCTCTATTTCTTCCTCGACAATTATACGCTTGAAAACCCTTGTCTCGTGCGAGCCAGCACTGCCGTTTTCAAACGATTTGCCTCCAAATACCGGGCAATCCGCGAAATGCCGGGTTCGATCCTCTCGGAATCTACATCGATCACGAAGGACGCGGAGGTCGGCGATGACCGGGGTACGCATCCGCACGATTCGAAAAGGTTCCAGGACGAGAAAAATGGTAATTTGCAGGTATACATCGCGCGAACATTAGTTTGGAGCCGACATTCGCGTGCTGCTCCTCGTCCTCGTTCTCCTGCTCTCGTTTCGCTTCCATGTAGATCGCGTTTACGTAACAAACGTACCGCATTCAGGTTTAAGAAGTATCTCCTTGCGCAGAGATGAACAAAGCATGCATCGCGTCGGGAAAGAATTAATTCCTCAGGATGATGTAGCACGTCGCGAGCTTTGTCTAATATATAGAGCGTCGAATGACAAATAAACACGAGGGTAACCACCGTGCTCGGTTCCTGTAACGACTCCCCATGGTGTGATTGTACGACCCCCCTGACTCCCAATGTGCTCTTGTGCATCGGGATGTCCTCTTCTCTCGCTTGACGTCGGCGCAGGTTGCGCTTCTTCACGGATCATCGCCCATTAACCATCAGTTTCCGACCCGTTGATTCAAATGTTACGTCGCAGAATTCTCGAATACTTCTTTTATTTATTTTTAGCACCAATTCTCCAAGCAAACGTGTCGCTGAGGAATCGATCTAAAGTTAATATCTAAAAATTCTGGCATTTTTATTTCAAAGAGAACATCAACGACAGATTCACTATCTACGTCGAAATATCGTCAACGCCCTTTGCTGTCTGCGCGGAAACCGTTATAAAACGGAAGGAGAACGACAAAATTTGGGCGATTATTACTTAGCCGCAGGTACACCACCGAACGGAAACTAGGATACGAAATTACGTTACCACACTTAGCTTATCAGATTCGACGTAATAACGACGAGGGACAACCCCCTTAACGAGGAAAAGATCAGATCATTGCGACAAATTAATTTATGGCCATCGCGCGGAATACTTCAAGGAGGAAGGCGTATTTGGCTCCTGGCCTTGAATATGTCCTGCGACGTCCAGGACAGGTGAGCAGTTTCCAACCCTCGATACATCCCCTTCGCGTCTGCCCAAGCTTATCTGACGAATTTCGGTTTTCGGCGTATTTTGGTCGGTATTCTTAGCTATTTTATATTATAAATCTATAATCCGGTTCTCTTACTCGGCGTTTCTTTTCATTAACATAATCGTATGAGATCTTTGCGACACGCAATCTTGATTAATTTGTTTCGTTTCAATGATATATTTTATCCAAGATAAAAAAATCACGTGGAGATGTCTGCGAATGGACGAGACTTTCGGTTCTTTTGCTCCTCTCGTTGATGATCTCGTCTAAAATATGCAGCTGCCGCTACTATCGATCCATCAAAGATCCAAAGATTCCAAAGATATTAGGAACGCGTCCCTTCTCTTTCGTTGATCTAGAGAAAAATCGTCTCTTTTTCTTACAGCTACAACACACCGCAGATTTCACGGCTGCGGCACCTCGATCAAATATTAATCTCATGGATGAAATTGTAATTTATGAAGAGGCGACCAAGAGAATATAAGGAATCTAAAAAAAATTGTACACAAGGCGCACCTATCATTTTTCTAAGAGGATATTAGGACGAGCAGGTAGCCCGACGATATTTCCGCGCTTCTCGAAAATGCGGCGAAATGTCGAGCATCGATTCTCCCTCCGTCTTCCTCTTTCCGGATGCTAATAATGTTTTCGCAAAGTCGAGACGTCGCGCGTTTTTTATTGGTACCGGTTCGCATAAAAGACGTCACGTCGAATAAATTATCATTCGCGAATGCGGCCTTTAATTTTTGCCATTTTTTCGTCGATATCGCGCATTATATTCGTCGTATCAACGGATATGGCTGGCGGCTGGATTAAATTGTTACGTCCGCCCTCTTCCACTTACTTACCCCGTCCGTCAGATATCGAATTCCGGTCGAAGCCGCCTGAAGCAACGTCGATTCCCAGAGTCGTAGGATCGATGACCAACGTGCACCCTCCGTCCTTCGCCCCCTAATCGACCCCTGCTCGCGCGCTCCGTAGCTCTCTTAACAAGGGATGATAGTATCGCGCGGTCTGAGTGGCCCGATGACACCCGCGCTGATACACCCTGGCCCTGTCATTGGTCAGCCCCGCCGGATGGATGGTATTAGAGGGTTTCACCGATTGGCGGCCTCTTTGGAACGCCCAGGAAGGATGCGCAGCTGCCAGGACATGCGTAATCCGTCGGCTTGATCGACGTCGAGGGAGTATAACGTGCGACGTAACGATTATTCCCATAGTGCGCACCACCACATTTTACCACCACCGTGCCTTCCCTATAGACGACACTTGACATTCTGCGATTGTCACCGCCTTTCTCGCCCTTCAACGTAACGCAACTAACGTTGAATTCCAGCGAATCGATTTGAATTAAATCTACGCCGCTCAAAAATTAATTGAGATACCGTCGCACCTAGAAATGTGACGGAACGTCCTTCACGTCAGACAATTTATGATTGGTTTATAGACAAGGATAAAATATTTATCTCCCGACATACGAGTATTGGATCGAGTCGCGAATCTCTTTAGAAAAAAATCGTCGGATCAATAGGTGTTATAGATGCGCTGCAGGTGCTGTTCAAATGTCACGAATGCGTGGAAGAAATCTTTGTTATTTAGACGCGCAGATTCGGAGAAACTCTGATGCTCGGAGCTGTGAGCAGTGAATTTCGATAATTGCAAGCAATTGCTTGAAATCGTAGCAGGTGCCAATGTAATGAGCGACGCTTTGATCTTTGTAGCGTAATTGTACAAAGAATTCGTCCTATTTATCTCGCCGTCTTTCGAAGTATTACTCCAAAGAGCTCTAGGGCAAAACGCAATAGCTAACAAAAACTATTTGTATGATTGAACGTTCTGCTACATTTTTTTTTAAAATACACTTGAAAAAATAACATTATATATTACTCGATAAAGAATACATTTTTCTACGATAAGAAGGTGACATAATAAGCAATTTTAATCAAAGGACGCTTGAAATAAACTGCGACAAATTTATAGTCGAGTAGTAGTTTGAATCAACCTATCGGGGCAACACGCAAATCTACATAATTTAAAACAAAGTCTACACAATTTTGTTCGTCTCGAATTGGATCACTGACCATTTTGTAATTGATCTTGTAGCTTTTTTAAATAAATTTTTTATAAATTCGCGATAAAAACGCGAAGCGTATCCTTCCTTCAGGAACGAGCGGGACAAGAGGCAGGTATCCAGAGGCAAGAGAGCGGAATGATAAAAAGGATGAGGGCAGGCCCTTCTCGCCGATTACCGGTAACCGTGTGCCAGAAAACGGGTGCAAAAACAAACGCGGACGGTGCTTAGCGCAACACCTCGCAGCTAAAGGGAATCAGCTGCGTCGTTATATATTACGCTACCCCGAAATTGTCGAGCGAGATAATGAAACGCGCGCATTTATCGTGAGAAATTACATTGCCGTGTTTACCTGCAATACCTTGCCGCCGATCGTTCGGAGTATTAGAATTATCTCGCTGCCGCGGGTTACGGATGTTTCTGAAATAAGCAAATTGTTGCTCGAGATTTGTTTTTCTACCACTAATCCTGAGAATGATCGATTGCACAGAGAATTTTTAGATTTGAAAGATTTATTATCTTTTTGACTCTTATAACGCTAATGTCGAGAGAAATGACGCGACGCGAGCTAAAGAAATTTTATTTAATATTAATCACTACTGAATTCGTTCAGTAGCAAACAAGGCCAAGAGGGACGAGCAGCCATCGATCTTTCTCGACCGTGTCTAATCGTAAGTAATCTAGCGCGTTTTTGGCGATTTTAGAAAGGCCTTAATAGCTTCGGAGGGATAGCAGTTATTTTTCAAAAAGTAGATAGAATGCATAAAACCACGTCCGCTCACACTTGCTTAAATGTGTGCGAGCGAATTAAAATAAATAATGAAAAGTTGGGAAACACAGAGAGCGAGAAACAGAAGAGAGAATATTATAATAAAATACAAAAAAGGAATCTGCTCTCGGAATATATCTAACATATCTATCTCGTACTCCATACATCTAATAAATTTTTATCTTTAAAGCGCACCAAAAAGTGACCACTGGAGGGTTTAAATTACCAGGTTAAGTGTGACACGCGATTGCGATACGTATCGATGATTCACACACGGACGGGCCGTGCATATTAATGATATTTAGGAGGGAAAAAAAGAGAAGTCTCCCGAGGCACACCTGACTGGGAATTGCAGGACGCGATTGCATTTACGTGTTAATTACGCCGATCTTACATCATCCTTCCTGCCTCTATCTCGTCTCCATCCCTCATCGCCCTAGAGCGATAAAT